TGCAGAAGATGAAACTATATATTCAAAAAAAGAGATGAATCAGCTCCTTGATGCCGTGGACGATGGTAATAAAAGCTCCGGTGGACTGAAGCTACGTTGTAGTACCTGGGGGCTTTTGGGGTTTATACGTTTTACTGGGTCATATTATATGCTTGTGATCACCAAACGAAGTCAAGTTGCCATGCTAGGGGGGCACTACATTTATCAAATAGATGGGACAGAGCTTATACCCTTGGAGTCCTCTACCACATCAAGGCAGAGACCTGAAAAACACGCAGACGAAGCTCGATTCGTTGCGGTGATGAACAATATCGACTTGACTCGTTCTTTTTACTTCAGTTATTCTTATAATATTTCCCGTACCTTACAGGATAATATTGTTGCGGAACGACAAGCGATCAGATCAGGACAGAAAAACCGTGGAAACGGTGACCCCAACTCTATGTTCGTTTGGAATCAATATTTGCTAAACCCAGTTATCAAGCTGCTGAAAAATGCCTTTGACTGGTTCCTGCCAATTACCCACGGATATGTTGACCAGTCTGCAATATCAATCTACGGAAGACTTGTGTACTTAACCCTCATTGCTCGCCGGTCCAGGTTTTTTGCCGGCGCTCGGTATCTTAAACGCGGGGTGAATGATCTTGGATATGTGGCCAATGATGTTGAGACTGAACAGATTGTTTCGGATATGCTTACCACGTCTTTCCATGCGCCTGGTCCGGAACTCTATGCGAATCCGCAATACACCTCCTATGTCCAGCACCGTGGCAGTATTCCTCTAGCATGGACACAAGATAGTACCGGAGTTACACCCAAGCCTGACATCTCATTGAGTGTTGTTGACCCCTTTTATTCTGCAGCAGCTCTTCATTTTAACAACCTCTTTGAAAGATATGGCAGTCCTGTCTATGTCCTAAATCTTATTAAGGCCCGAGAAAAAATTCCCCGTGAATCTAAGCTGTTGACGGAGTATACAAATGCTGTGAATTATTTGAACCAGTTCCTCCCTGACGATAAGAAAATTATATATCGCGCTTGGGACATGAGCAGAGCATCAAAGAGCCGGGACCAAGATGTCATCGGAACATTAGAGTCTATCGCAGACGATATCATTCCGAAGACTGGATTTTTCCGAAATGGTGAAGATGGGGCGTCTGGACTGCGCATGCAAAATGGAGTTGCAAGGACAAATTGTATCGATTGCCTTGATAGAACAAATGCCGCTCAATTCGTCATTGCAAAACGCGCTCTGGGATACCAGTTGCAAGCCCTTGGTTTAATCGACCACACATACATAGATTATGACACGGATGCTATTAACACCTTCACAAATATGTGGCATGGCCACGGAGATACCATTGCTGTGCAGTATGGAGGCTCACATCTCGTGAATACTATGGCTACCTACCGGAAATTAAACCAGTGGACAGGACACTCTCGAGATATGGTGGAGAGCTTCAAGCGGTACTACAACAATTCTTTCCTTGATGCTCAACGACAGGAAGCGTACAATTTATTTTTAGGAAATTATGTGTTCTCCAAAAACATTCCAATGCTCTGGAATCTTTCCACAGATTATTATCTGCATCATTCTGATCCACGAACCTGGCTTGCGACACATAAACAAAACTACATAAATTGGTATAACAAAGAGCATCTTCAAAAGCGAGAAATGCCCCCCGCACCCTCAGCCTCCTCAGCTCTGGCAAGCAAGCGTATCCGTGAATTTGATGACTACTGGCTTGAATATTATCGACCAAGAGCTATATCCTCCTTCTCAAAAATGTTTTCATTTAGAATGAGAACCAAATTGCCAGACTACCAACTCCAATCCATGCATCCAGGAGAACACGATCTTAGCCCGTTTGTAGTTAGAACGGATCATGAGCCAGACCATCAACGTGATAGGAGACATACACCGAATAAACGGCTTACGATTCTAGAGCCCTCTGACGAGTTAAAAGATATCAAATCTGGTTCGAATAATGGCTATTCGGGTGCCATGCCTTTGCAGCACTGGCTACAACCCTCATCCGGAAGACTTATTCCCCAAGCCGGTATCCTGAAGGGAACTCAAAATGCCCTGGTCACAAATTCCCACTCAACCAACGATCCTATCTCTGTGACAAATGCATATAGCCAACTGCCATATAATGCCACAAAAGCGCAGGTTGCCCAATGGAGCTTTGGCCAAATGATTGCTGAATCTCTCAATCCATCACTTTCCTCTGCTGAAGCAGAAGAATATGAACGATATGTCAACCATCCGCTTAAGGTACCGCTGGTTGTGACATCAGAAGCCTCACTGACTGCTGCATCTTTGGAAGAGAGAGGCTCGAATTTAGATTTATTTGAATACGCAAATCAGAGCAACCTAGAAGACGCCAACTTAAACTCGATTGCTGAGAGTAACATGGCAGACTACACTGATTTCTTGACAGTTGGAGATGAAGGGCTTACTGTTAACAATGAGGATTATGACAAAAAGCGCTACAAACGATATAGACAATGGCTAAGGGGAAAAAGCTTATTCAAACAAGGTGTTGAAGTATAACGCCTTGAATGCTGTTTCTCAATTTTTACATTTCTTGCAGTGTTACGTATATGATCTTGGTTTAGATACCCTAGTTGCCTTTATAATTTAGACACAGAAGTACTTGTTTATGGAACAGACGATAGTTAAAACGATCCTATCTTAGTAAGGTTTCTAGTCTATCATCGGCATCTACCAATTCCTTAAGCTCGGCTTCGAAGTCAAACACTTTGTCGAACTCAATGGCTTTCAAAAGTATTACCAATCTTTTTAAAATGGACCGAAGATGTCCTCTGTCATCCGGCTGTTCGTCATTTGAGGATACACCGTCCTCCTTCTCATCACACAGCCGAAGCCAGCATGCGCATATTCCAGCCAAAATATCCCCTCTCCATCTTGATAAGCGTGGCCAGCAATTCAAAATAACTGACTGATAGCATTGGCTAGCTGCGATAAGCAATGGTACATATGCTAAACCGAAAGGATTTGTGAGAGTTGAGGAGAGTAAAGGAACAATGTCCTGTAAGTACTTTGCAGCCTCAATTTCAAGGCTGGTCACTGCTTCGGCCAGCTGCTTCAGCAAAAGTGTGGAAAGTGATGGGTGCGGGTATGAAGAAATAGATGTGTCTTCAGTTGGTCTCGGGCTGCTGGTATGAAGGTACGAAGATATAATGTGGTGGCGCACAAGCCTCGAAAGTGATTCAATCCGTAATTGGGAATCCTTCTCAAGATCAGCCTTGGATTTCGTGCTCAATGGTTTGTCAGAATATCCTTGGTATTTGGTAACAGCAGAGAATCGCGTCCGGATAACAGTGAATATAGCTGGATATGCAAAGCTTAAGAGATATACAGATTCTTTTTCTGGCGTTATCGTAGGGATAGATAAGAGACAGTGAGACAACGCATCTTGAAATACAGAGTCGAGGTTGGTTCGACGTAAGATATCAGATCCGGCCTGTTCAAGTGGGCGAAGAGCGACCTCGATCAAGTAACAGCCAGCAGCTTTGTAGGCGATATTTTCATCGTCAATAAAGGATAGAATTGCGGGTATAAGCAATGGAAAGTGCTGTTCGATCATACTATGATCTGTGTTCTATATTCATGCCTTAGTTTAGATACTGGATTATTGATTTGGTACAAGCGTCACATACCTGATACTGTCGTACAATCCAATTAAGAACTGATACAATATACCCTTCTTTAAACTTCCACGGTTTGGTTCCTGTATCAAACAACGTGGGGTCAAAACTTGGTTTGGGAATTGGATGCATATCCTTGCGTCCTGCGGAAGTTATTGCTGGAGTCTTCGTCTTAGAAAACGCTGGTTTCACCTTTCTGCGAAGCATTCCTTCAATAATAGTCCCAAATTTTCCTTCTTCCCGAAGTTTAATTTCATATCTTTGGAGAAGGTCGGTCGCCAGTTGGGCACCTTCCACTGTTGTCCAAGGGTCACTGGATGAACTGAACATAGCAAGGTTTGAGAGGATATCTTCAACATGCATAGCTTCATTCATTAGAAAAACGGGTGCTATAAGGGCTATAACCCGCAGTCCAATGGTTGCTTTAAGCCGATCTTCTCGGTATTTCGATATTATAGTATTTTTTTGTTCCTCTTCCTGCGGTTAGAATCAGGATTTCCACGAGGCGAGTGGGGGGTAGAGCTAACCATCCGCAAGTTGAAATTCACTCCAAGCAGATGCAAGCTCTTCTCTTGGAGGAAGGGTAGCTAGTATCCAATATAGTAGTGAACTTGCAGCATTTGAATTTCGGCCATCTTTCGTTTTTTCAGCGTTCCTGTCGCGAAGGCAAGCTTCTGCGACGAGCAAATTTTCTAACACCTACTACTTATTAGCCCATATTCGTGAAGGGAAGGATGCAAATACTCACATTATTGTCACCTTTGTGTTCACTGATATCAGACCAGAGACCTTCGAGGTCAACGTTGCATGTCGTCACAGCTTGGGTATAGATGTCCAGGCTACTATTGCTTGTGGCCTGTTTGACGAATTTTCGAGCCGTTTCACGACATTTATCCATACTTGAGTCAACTTATAAGACAATCGCCATAAAAATCCACAGGGAGCTACGTAGGTGCATTTGGCCCTGTATATAGTGGGTGGTTGAAGTCTTGAAGATATTTGTAGGTAAAACGAGAAAAACAAGCGGCGCTAAGAAAAGAAATTGATGGTGGTGGTCCAGCCTCAACTAACGAGTTACTTTAACTAGCTAAGTGAGTCTACGGATACTAACAACTTCTTGTCTACACTTGTTCGAAAGCTAGCAATGTTTAGCAAAGATATGCAGCTATATACTTGATATAGGAGATTTGACACTCTAAGAGAGCCTGCAGGTCAAGATTGATGGGTTTTCCACTGAATGAATACGGAAATCGAAAGTGTGGCGATAGTGATGCCACTGTTGAAATACTCCATTCGTCTACGCTAGTTGCAAACACGCCTGAAGCCTATTGATACTCGTCTTTCCTGCGTATAGCTTCTTCTATTGCGCCCTCTGCATCTGTCCGGTCTGGATTCCGAATTTGCCATTCCATGGCAATTTCCAGAGCGGTTGTCAGCCATGCTCCTGCTTTCGAGTTTAAGGCTTTAATCATATCACGTCCATTAACAAGAGGCTTAAGGTTGGTTACTTCGAGGAGATTCTCCTGCTCTAAAAATTTCAGGACCTCAAGGTAGTCATTCAAAACTATCCATGCGGGGTTAGTATAATTTGATGGAGAAGCGAGGAGGTTTTAAAACTCACCGGCTTGGGCAGCTTTCCCTTGCATAACATCTAGCAGTATTGCCTGAATAAAACAAAGCCTCCAATCCGCTCCTAGACTTCGGAGAAGTTTTGCAAGTTTCCATCGATCGTCAGATAGAGAGGTAGTATCAGACATCCCGTTAACATACGCTGTTTTGACATCTGATATTAGCCCGTAGCGGGTGACTGCTACGCTTAACAAGGTTGTCAATTTCTTTTCGCACCTAAGGCCATCCCGAGCAACCCTTGTCGGGCGGGGGGCCATTTTTCTAGCCTCTTCTTCAGTTAGGGGCTGTTTAACATCAACCATCGCCCAAGGAGACAGTGCAACAATCATCCAGGACCGGTACTTTTCGTCTTTATCACGGATAAGGAAGCTTTTTACCGACTTCCGAAGCTCAAGGGACACCTCGGGATAATCCGTTTCGTCTAGGATACTATTCAACAGAGTATATGCGACTGGCCAAGAAGACGTATCGACATCAGTCGCGCTCAGGTGATCTGAAAAGATAGTGTCATATAGGCCCAGCCGGTTTATAATCATCAATGCGCCCAGGGGATCAGGGCCTAGAAGAGCTCTGTCAGTATATTCTTTTCGATTCAAGTCTTACTGTAGTTCTAGAAAACATACCGCGGAGCATCTTTTCTATTTCAATACCAATTCTTTCCTGACTTATTTTAAGCCTGAGGGAATGCTTGATATCATCATCGCACATCGACTCTTCAGTATTAGGATCAATAGTATAGCCGAGTCTGCTGGCAAAGCGGATTAACCTTAGAACTCTTAATGGGTCATCTTTGAAGGTTTGATAGGGCGCCAGCGGTGTGCGAATCAGTTTCGCTTCCATATCAGACAGCCCCATGCCGGTGAAATCTTCTACTTCACCGGTGTGTAAGTTGTAAAATAACGCATTGACAGTAGCATCACGACGAAGGGCGTCTTCTTCTGCAGTTCCAAATTCGACTTGTGGGTTCCGGCTGGTGTCTGTATAAGTTTCTTTCCTCAGGTTAACCAAGTCCACGTCAAATCCAAAGACACGAATTGTAGTTGTCTCGAGATGTTTTGATTTCTCCGGGTTCGCGGCGATCTTATGTAGTCCGCCAATAACTCCTTTGAGGGCATGCTCCGGATAGTGAGCCTTATATCTTTCAAGATTCTCTGGGATATCAAGGTATTCCTTCAGCGCCAGGCCAAACTCATAGCCCGTCATAGTGCTGATCCCGACGTCAATATCCTGACTGTCCACGCCTAGTACTTTGTCACGTACCCAACCTCCAGTAAACCGGAGGATGAGCCCAGAGCCCTTGGGGTCATCATTATTCTTACGCCGAATATACTCCACTGTGTCCAACAGCAGCGTTCGCAAGAGTGCTTCCTCCGAGCTTAGCTGCACCTCTGGCACTTTCACTCCAGCTCCCCGTGTCATTATGCTTTCAGATACACCTGACTTTACTATGCGCCTGCGTTTGTTCGGTCTGTCAACTTCACCAGAAAGACCACTCATAGGCAAAACAGCTGCTTGTTGTGTGTGGTTGAAGCGATTCGAGTTCACTAGAGAGCGAGTAGGCTTCAGTTTAGGCAGTTGGCGCGCACGAAGAGTTCGTCGACAAAGAGTTTCCAGTGGCCTGAGAAACAGGCGCATCGATTAAACGTCCACAGGTATATATGTCTATATGTTTTCTGCTGGGATTGGAGTGATCGATGTGCTTGTATCTATCTACCTAGGTGTGAGTCAGTAACAATTATCTAACTAACTATTTATCGGAGAGAGGAAACAGGGAATTCGCACCTAAACCGCGCTCTCGGCTGAAAATAACGGACAAAAATTGGCAAAGGCGCACGTTTATCTCGTAGAATGCCGCAGTGGATAGTTGGTAGAGATGTTGTTCGGTTTGATGAAGTCATAAACTAATCAGTTTATTTCGTTTTCATGTCTTGGGCAGATTTGCTTGCGAACAAGATCGTCAACGTCAACGTCAACGTCACGTCAACACCAACATCCACACTCTCAGCCTCGACGTTGGATCTCACAACGACTTGAAGAATACTCCGAAAGGCGCTCTCCCATACAGCGAAGACCATAGGCTACATGTTCACGAAAAGCAGCCAATCTGCCACACGCATACTCCAAACTCCGTCAGTCAGACCGAGTTGTCCATGACAACCCCCGAGGATGCTCCCCCGATCAAACCGCCGCCCTCCTTCTCGCCGGCATCACCTCTTCCCACCAAGTCCAGGTACGCTGAGCGGCTGCAGAATACACAGCAATCGGCACTGACGTCTCTCTCTGAGAGCGCCTTGCCCAACTCCCTGGCCTCCGAGCTACAGTCTGCGCCCTCATCCCGAGCCAGCTCGCCTGATCGACGGCTTTCTCGCTCCTCCCAGCGGCTTTCTAGATCTTCAACCCTCTCACCCGCCAGACATCAGATCGATACTGCAGATGATATACGGTCGACAATAATCCGGGCCTTCTCACCGGCTATCAGCGTTTACGCTTCGCAAGAGACGAACGAACTCGTGCGAAGAAAGGGGCTAAAGGGTGGTTTCTGCGAGCTCCTGAGGCCGTTTGGCGAGAAAATTACCGGCAAGGTTATCATTCGAGACGGAGTGGGTTCTAGCCGGAGCTGGGATGACTACGGGGTGAGATTTGTGCACTCAAATGGTAGCCGGCAGCCCTCGGCCGCAGGAGCTGAAGACATAGACAAGATACCCCCTTTGACACAGATTGAAAAGGTCCTGGAAACTCATCTCGAACCCTCTAATCGAGCGGCCAGTGATGTGATATTCGCAGGACAGCCCACTCCCAAGGGCGTGACGTTGTCATCACCTTTATATAGGCTATTCTTAAGACGGCTATTGTCCGCAGACGCTCCTACTCCTCATGAAACCTTTCTTCACCCTGTGGCATGTGTTATAGCTATTAGTTCTAGTACACCGTCCCCGTTAGAAGCACTACGTCAGCTTTATGCCAGTACGAGCCATGGAGAGCAAGGCCCCCGGCCCTGGATTCACCCAGAATACCTCCGGTATTATGTCCTCGTTCATGATGAGGATAGAGACGACATCACTCAATCAACAGCCTTATTCGATCAGATGAAACGACATTTTGGTCTACACTGTCACATGTTACGGCTTCGAAGTAATCAATGCGTTGTGACAGATGACGACGGTATGCCATTTCCAACTTGCGAGTGGCAAAGTTCGCGAGAGGAGTTGATAGAAGCTAAAGAGCAAGGTATACATGCTCCCTATAATAGTATACAATTGACCGTGGCTAATCTAACGCATTTTTTATATTCACAGAGCCCCTATTAGACGTGGGCTGGGAATCCCCTCATATATTCGAGTCCGATGTTACGGCCATTATATCCTTTATCCGGGAATTGGTTGCGCAGTCTGTTATTCCTCACATGGAGAACCGTGTGGCCATGTGGAATGAACAAGTCGCTTCCAGGAGAAGAGGCTTGAGCGGGCGCTTCATGTCCATATCCAAACGCTGGACCGGCTTTGGTTCGAGTTCAAAGTCCTCTGGCGCTTTTGGAGGTGGTGGTAGTGGAAGCAACTACGACCCTTACCAGGGTTATTATAAGCCGGATTCCCCCGAAGCATTATTACGGAAGATGGCAGATTATTCTTTTATGCTTCGTGACTTTAAGCTTGCTTCATCAACATATGACCTTCTAAGAAGCGACTTTGGGAACGATAAAGCTTGGAGATACCACGCCGGAACCCATGAGATGTGTGCTATAAGCATGCTACTTAATCCCCTTACCTCAACCAATAAATCTAAAATCGACACCGTTGACCAACTGTTAGATATTGCCTGTTACTCATACCTAACTCGATGTTCAGATGGCCAAAATACCTTACGCACTATCATACTTGGAGCAGAGCTCTTGAAATCCCGCGGCGGCTCTGCAGCTGAAAATGCCGCCAAGTGGAATATGAAAGTCCTCAACATGAACCTCGTCGGTCCAATTGGTCGAATTCTCGTCTCCGAACGGACTTCTGCATGTTTTGCCGCAAAGGTTGCAACAGAAGGTACCAAATGGGGAACCCGACGACGGAAGGCCGGTATGTGGTCACTTCTGGCTGCTGACTACTGGCTAGCAATTGGTAAACCTGCCTTTGCATCTAGCTGCCTTGAGGAAGCCGAGAGGTACTATGGACCTATATTGGAAGAGGGGTTGTTTGCCTTTCCTGATCTACGAGCTTATGTAGAGGAGCTAAGGCTGTCTGTGAAGATGGGGTGCCTCGAAGCTCAAGGACTAGAGGGAGAGGAGGAGGAGGTTTCCGAAGAGCAGCTTGATGCTACCGAAGACATGAATGAGATGCCTACTTTCCGACGCCACCGGCGATCCATTCTGGGGTCTGTTGGCCCGTTAGAAAATACCCAGTCAGCCAAGATTCTAAGAAGGGAGGATGAGGAGCCTGAAGATGATGAATTTGAATGAAATAGACCACCAACGCTCTCTATTACTCGGCAATTGATACTCCATACCTTGCTTAACTCATTTAAACGCCTTCCTTCTTCTTCTTGTTTCTGTGCCTCAGTTTTGCAGCCATCGCCGGACTACCCATCCGTGGTATATCTTCCAACGATTCCCCTAATATCCCATGTGTGATCAATGTGTCTCTTTCCCTCCTTTTCGCGGCCCTTTCGGCGCGTCCTAATAGGGTCATTTGGTCTAGGTGAAACGTTATTAGACATTAGAAGAAAGATGGTTTATTACACTTACAATTGCTTTCTTCAACAGACGTGATTCTGAGGACAAAAGGATCTCCCTTCTTTCTGAAGCCTGCGGGCGGTTCCTCATCTCTTGCCATACCCCGTACAGGCGGATGGGAAGCAAACGCCTCGTTCCGCCTCAATTTTGTTATTTTTCGAGGGTTTAACTGTCCTGCAGTTGTCGTCATTCCTGCTGGCCCATGCTGTCTAACGTACTCACGGATGTTCTCTGCCGTCTCAGGCGCTCTCCTGGGGTCTATGAGCGCGTAGATATGTTCTACCATTGCAAGGTCTTGGTCAAACACCTTTAAAGAGTGGTTTTATTCTTTTGTGGGGATATAAAAGTCTCAAATATTAGTACTTGATGCCCACCTAATATTACATGAGATGATAGCAATTTTGTGACATAGGCACTGATAGTGTCACTCCTCAATTTAGCTTAATTACTTAGCCGCGGCAGGATCATTGCGCGTAAATGTTCCTTCCGTCTCCTCAACTATCTCACACCAAGATATTTCTCCCAACTCAATCGTAACCCTGACCGATAAATCATTGTAAGGGATCGTAGTGAACATTCGAGTGTCAGGCTGTGGATCGGGGAAACTGTTGCAGTATCCAACGCGACATGTACCCTCATCGATGGTTAGCTGGTCAACGATGGTAAACGTAGCTTCTGCGAATCCCGGGCACGGATGATGTTCCATCCAGTCCCGAATCTCATTGTCTGTATAGTTCAAGAACGGAGACTCGAAATCAGACATAGGCTTGCGAGAACCGTGAGTGATTGAACTCAGGTCAGTTGTTTGTAGGATGCATGGGGCGCCTGGAGGATCGCTGTCCTCTTCCGATAGCAGTATCCCTCTGTATGCCTCGTCAATGAACCAATCGAGCACCTAAAATAGGATTAGTGAAATAGTACAAACATCACTCGGCATTTAGCCATACCTTTGGAGGGATGTTCGTGGTGCAGAAAACAGGATACATTGTAGCATAAGTAGATATTCGGTCATCTATATTGCCGTAAAGTTCACCACATCCCCGTGCTTGACTTCTTGTAGTTACCGGCATTGTATCAGGTATATAAACGTGTATCAGTCCGCCATTACATTCGATCTTCAAGTGGTAGGTCGCCGTCGCAGTGCTATATTCCCATATTGACATGACGTCATAGGTATATATTTCTCATCGTTGGCGCATCCTTTAACGCCTTAGTATCTTAAAAAGACAGCACATGATAGCCAATATGGAGTAAACATGATGCTACAGACATAATAGCTAGAATAGAGGACTTAAGTATATAAGGTAGGGGGGCCAATCCTGGGTGCTAATTTTAGACCTGTTGGCAACTAACAAGTTAAGCGCGATCAACAACTAAGTTCGCCAAGAACCGATGCATAAGCGCGGTACTTGAATCTCAAACGCCAAACGTCAACATTGAAACTCCACAGCAGCTCCCGGTCTTCTTGCTTTAGTCGAAGGATATGTTTTGGCAGCATTGCCTCTGGCCCTTTTCACTCATACTGCAGTGAAGTCGCAATGAGTGAGCTCCTGTCATACATCCTTGACCACGAAGACGCCTTCCGCAGGTATTCGCCACCATTTCCTCGCGTGGAGTCCATCTCTTATCAAGCTAACTCCTGGTTTCCTTATCTACGTAAAGGGCTCGTCTACCGTCGTTATACTCCGACTTCTCTCGTCAGAAACAGACAAATCCCGATGGATATAATAGCAATGTAACGGCGTGGCAGCGTGCTCTGGCAAATGCTGCTTTAGCCGGTCATGTTTCTTCTCTATCCTCCAGCTCTGCCCCGAAGTCGGATTCTCGGAAGGATAGCCTATCACACAGAAACAACTTACTTGTCCTACGAACTAGCAATGCTCTCATGGCAGACCTGGAAACAAGAGAGTGGGGAAGGCCGCTATCCCTACAGTGTGTGATAGTGAGTGTTTCGAGTTCATGACGAGGTTTTAAAAACTGGACGCGCTGGTAAATACTGATAGCTAGTAGGATGAAGCATTACGCAGTGGGCATATGATGCTGCTCGATACGTTTCTGAACAGTCAGACAAGTCCCTTCAGGAGTGGCTGGTTACGGTTACCTAGTCCTCCAAGTCTATCACAAGTGGTCATGTGGGGTATGAAACAAGCTCGTGGGCTGGTTACAGGCTCGGATATCGATAGTTTAGCTGGTACCGGAACGCTTCAGACGAGCGAGTTGGTACTTGTAGATAATGTCAAGGTACTTATCTTCCCATATGAAATAAACTGTATTAACACTGATTTTATTCTGCTAGCAAGCAGCAGGCAGGCTTATAAAGGGGGTTGTTGGTCATCATAACTCAAGTGTTGACCGCATATACTCTAAAGAAATGTTCATGTTACAGTTCGCTCATATATTTGGAGAAGAGACGTTGCTATCTACGACGGATTTTAATGTACTACTTACGTTTCTTTCGAGAGATAGGAATATTATACTATACGACGGAAAGGTAGGCACTGAACGTGGCCTTGTTATATCCAATGTTCAAACCTGCTAATAAGTCTATAGACAGTGAAATTTAGGGATGCGAGTGATACCACGGATCGCATCACTGAGGAAGATGCATCAATTGCCTCCCTCAAGGCAACAATTGCACGACTAACGTTGCAGGTGTCCACCTTGAGTGAGAAAATAAAAGAGCTCACTGGCAATGCGCAGAAAGCGCTCGCAAACAAAAATAGGATCCTGGCCCTATCCTCACTTCGGCTCAGGAAGCTCGCAGAGCGCAACCTTCAACAGCGCACCGATACCCTATGGCAGCTTGAAGAGGTATACTCTAAAGTGGAGCAGGCTGCTAGCCAAGTAGATATAGTGCGGGTTATGCAAGCAAGCACTGGAGTTCTCCGGCAGCTTAACTCCCAACTTGGAGGTGTGGACAAGGTTGAGGATATTGTTGAAGAACTAAGAAAGGAAATGGATAATGTGGATGAGCTCGGAGGTGTTATAAACGAGGCTGGACCGGTCATCGATGAGACTGAATTAGACGATGAACTGAAAGAGCTGGAGGACCAGGAGCGTGAAGCAGGAGAGGAGAAGGATGCAGAAGAAACTCGGAAACGTCTAGCGGAGCTAGAAAAGAACCAAGGGGTAATAAAAACTCCTGCCGCTCGCGCCACTGATGATGATTTAGAAGAGAGCATTGACAAATTGTCGCAGATGGCAATTGGCGACCACCCAACAGCAAGAGCGAAACAGAGCACCAAAGCTCTAGCAGAAACGATAGAGTAGACTTCTTTATCGCTCTCCCTTCCGAGAGGAGATGGTCTACAAGGTATACGTGCGTGCTTAAAACCACTGTAATATACCCCGAGACGACGACGGCCAAGCAAATTGACAATTCCAGCTTGATGAGACAACTGCAACTATGGTGCCACTACAGCAACCTGCATCGATTTGTCTGTGCTATCAGGCTCTATCTCAGGATGGTCTTGCTCGCCTCTGGTCTCCTTCGCCTCGCTCGGCTGTTCCAGAACTGGCTCGTGAGACGGTGTCGTAACCGCTGCCATCGGTGTTGGCGCTGGCGCTGACAGTGACCCTTCATTGACCTCTTCTTCATTTGGTTGGCCTTCTGCATTCCCATTAGATACCGCTACACGTTTAGCCCTCATACTGCGCGCCTCTGCTATGAGTTTTCTATAGTCTTCATCATGCGACTGCGACCAAGCAGTCACATCAAAGTCTTTCTTCATTATCGCAGAATTGACTCTCGACGAAGCTTGTGAGGTTGCCAGTCCACCCTGGGTCCTTTCCCAAACATCGAGATCCCGGAGAAGATCTCGCTTTGATTTAGGATATATAGAATCACAATTTGCATTCCATAAATTCATCCATTCTGTGTGCCGTTTTTGTAAGATGGGCTTCGGACCCCAATCTGGAATACCAAGTTCCTTGAGCTTTTTGCGCAGAGTGTTTTCTTTGAAAATGGAGTAATTTATTGTTGGAAGACGAGTGAATGTCTTAGGAGTGCTTGGGGAGCTTCTCAGCCCTTGGAACCCAATAGTCCTAGATGACAGGGTTAATAATGGTTAGAGTAGGGTACGAAACAGGAACACGTACCCATTAGACTTGGAACCGCTTTCTTTTTCTGGCGTGCCGGTGCAGTTATCTAAATGAGAAAACACTGCTTCATTCTTCATTCTTCTCATGCAGACGGGGCAAGCCACGAGTCCGTCATCTAAACGTGAGGGTTAATTTCTGTCTTAGAAGAAGACAAAACATCAGATTAAACGCAAGCTCATACCTGGCTGATACTCTTCATCTTCCTTTTCTCCGTCTTCTTCATCTGCACTATCTGGTATAATCACCGGCTCGTACTCCGACTTTGCGTTGTTTTCTAACCTCCTACCTTGTGACCTCGTTCTCCTACTAGTCTCCAGGCCCGTAGCACTATCTCCACCGATATGGTCAATCTTTCTCCTCTTCGTCGCCGGGCTTTCCACTGCATCCTCTGACCCTGGTCTAGATACTAGCGTTGTATGTATCGGATTATTCCTCACAAACGCAAGCATTGACGGCCTTGCTGTCTTGAATGACTCGACGAGACTCCCAACAGCCCAATTTCGGCGTAGCTTAAGCTCCTGGTCATTGCTGCGGCAGACAGGGCATTTTCCTTCAGAGCTCAGACACCGCCGTATACACAGAGAGCAAAAGGTATGGCAACAGGAGGTGATGACCGGGTTGTCGAAGAAGTCCTTGCATATCTGACATCGTAAGGCGGATTCGAAGTGAGCAACATCTGGGAGTGGTGTGGCTGTCCAGTCGGTGGAATCAGGTATATCGAAATTGCGATCCATGGAGAGGCGCGGCTGGGTCCTTCTATCCTCTCTCTTGTCTGTCCAAAGCGATCAAATAAAACAGTCAATACGGAGTAAGCTGGCTGCTATAGAATGAAAAAACCGATGGCGTCGCCAACTTGAGGCTGAACGAAGAAAACACCCCGAGGCGAGCGCCAAGACCTAGTTACGCTGACTGATACGCGTAAATTGGTTTTTCTCACGCGTTTTCTCAACTACAGCAAAACAACGACGACGTCAAGGAGGCAGAGAGTAGAAGAAGACGGAGTGCCAGCAAAAGGATGGGGACAAGCTACAAACAGTTTCTGGCTGGGAAGGTGTTCAATGACGAGGAATTTGTACGTAGGAGAGGTTTCATGCATATATCGAGCTTGCAGTGTCATTGACCGGCGGATATCTAGGTCACATATAAAGCTCTCAGTAGAGCGCAGAGAGTCCACAGCAACCAGGCCAAGCGGTATGTTTGTGAGGGCCCTGAGATGTTTGTTCATAGGCTAAGATGCTGCTACAGAATGCTATATGAGTTTCATCGCTCTGAAAATGAGAAGAAACCAAAGTCTGTCCATGCCACTTATCTGTTGACCGGAATTTCTGGTCACACCAAACCATTGCCTTTGAGTAGGAATCATTTGAAAGATGGCGAAGATGAGGTGATGCAGAGCAGTCCCGTCGTGGGCAGTCAGCCAGCTCAACCCGAGACGACAGAAACTGTGGCTGGACCTGCTATTACTTCTGTATTACTCGTTCCGGAAGAAGAATTGGAGGGCAAGTCTTTTGAGTCTGGATTGGAACCGGATTATGCTAACATCTTTTACAGGTGCAAAGTCCCGTTTCCAGAAGGTTTTATCCATTTTTGTATACAGCGTACAGCCGACTTCACTGCCAGACTTGAATGTGTTGGCAGACATTGGACAGATATCATCTACTTCTCCTGGGGACGATGTCTTTCAGCACAATGAAAAGTATGGGATGATACAGAACAAGAATGTTAAGGTATGTACACTTTTTCCAACGATGTAAACCCCATGCTCAATTTTACTTTAGAGACGATCGGGAACACCAGCGTCTATGCCGACGCCCATTAAAGAAGAGAACCCAATACAGAAAACTGTGGTCAAAAAGGCAGAACAAGAGCCTCCCGGTAAGAAATCCATGACCCAGTCTACGGATAAGAAGCCAGAACCATCTTCAACTCCTTTTCGGGCACTGGGAAGCTCGCAGTCAACAACCAAATCGTCTCAAGGCAAGCCTACACACAAACGTGACTCTTCAAGTATATTCAAAGCTTTCGCCAAATCAAGGCCAAAGCAACAGGCGAAGGATGACGATGCAGATGTAAGCAAACTCCTTAGTCCCTTAGGGAATTGGCATTGACCGCTAACTGTTTAAAAGTCGACACCAAACGAGTCTCAGAATAGTATGCAACACCATAACCGGTCAAGCAATTTGATCTTTGCTAATTTCTTGTATAGATATGCTAGATGATGAGTCTGAGGAGGAAAGAGAGGACCTTTTCCTGGATACTGGGAAAAAGACTACCAATAAAGAACAAGAATCGAGAAGAGATCGAGAAGAACGCCTACGAAAGATGATGGAAGGTAAATATTACTAATATTTCCTTGCCATCGAATACTGTGATACTAACATGATCGAAGATGAGGATATGCCAGATGCACCAGAATCGCCGCCCGAGGAAGAGCAAGCGCCTGAAGAAAGTGACCAAGCTTCCCTGGAATCAACCCCAGCTCTCCCACAGAAGAAGCAGGAGCCCGAGCTTGAACCAGAGTCTAGTGTGTCAGAGACACGGCCAACGGGTCAACGGCGAAGGGGCAGACGGCAGGTAATGAAAAAAAAGGTGTCAAGGGATGCAGAAGGGTACCTAGGTAAGTTCATATCCAGGTTAAGGTCCTTCCGCTGCCCACTTTCAATTATTAAACTAGCTGACAAGATTACTGTTTCCCCCGCAGTCACCAAGGAGGAACCAGTATGGGAATCCTTTTCGGAAGACGAGCCCGAACCCCAGAAAAGAAAACCGCTGCCATCTTCATCTGCAAAATCGGCAAAGGGTGGTGCCAAATCCAGTCAGGGTAGTATCATGTCGTTCTTCGGTAAGAAATAGCCTGCTTCATGGGATGTTACTCTGCATGTACGAAAGGAAGGGAAACAAACTTTCTTAATCCTCTTTTATTTCTCTACTATAGAGCTTACTATAGAGCACTCAAACCGGCGACCCGTCGGGCACGTTAACATCAACCTCCTTGTGACCAAACACCTGTCATCTCGTACAGAGCATACAGGAACAGGGATAACCAAAGCAACCATATTGCATCTACTCCACCACTGTAACTCGGCTGGGGGGGCGGAATACTGATCTCATCAACTCCTTCGAGCCTGCAGATCTTTGATCAAAAAAGAATATTGGAGATCACAAGACAACGCAACCAGCCTGGTCGCACATACAAACTTGCATCAAGTAGACAAAGCGCAGGGCCTGGCCTCGTCGGTGCATCAGTAAATGAAGGGCTATAACGGCTACATCATAAGAGCCGACAGTTTGGCCCCGTATGGTCGCTTTGCTATCACAGGCAGAAAAAGAAGAGACACGGCAAAGCAGCGGAAAAAGCAAAGATCAAAAGCGAGGAAGCCCCTGGCTACTTCTCCACGCCAGCTCCACCACTTCCTACTCAGTTCCAGGTATCCTCTGGGACTACAAGAGCTGTGCGCGCGCTGGGAGCAGGACCGGGATGGAGCGGTTCTGTGCGAGGATGATAAATAGCACACCCAGGGCCAAGTCGAAAAACTGTCGCCGTTCTACATCTCTGCCCCCTGAACCTCTTGTCTCGCAGTACATCGAGCATTTCAACACGAATCCGCACCAACTGGTTAATAGTTAGTTGCTGGCAGTGATGAGGTTTCTTGAAATTGCCGTCCTTGGGGCGCTCGCCTATCGCGAAGTATCGGCTGCGGACAGCTGGGCTACTAGCCTGCATGCGCGCAAGCAGGATATAATGGAAGCTTGTCCAGATTATGTCGCATACTCGCAGACGAAACAGTACGTTTACCTCCGAGTGAACCAGTGGATAGACATCAAGTGTCGCAGACATCAAGTGTCGCTAACTATTGCATTTATTTAGTCCTCCGTACAGCGAGGGCCCTCTCAAGCTATCATATCAGCGACCTATACCAGAATGCCGGACGTTCTCCTCTCCCTTGGTTGAGAAGGTGATAAAGGACATCACCTCACGCATGGTCGACAAAGATCTCGCTCGGATATTTGAAAATGCGTTCCCTAACACACTTGACACAACTGTTCGATGGCATGTCGATGGCACAGAAAAGAAAAAGCGAAGTTCGAAGACAAAGCGAGCAGGCGGCGTATGGGAAGGCCCCCAGTCGTTTATCGTCACTGGTGATATAAACGCTGAGTGGCTTCGGGATTCAACGAACCAGCTGGCGCAATACCAGAAATTGGCGAACGGAGACCCTAAAATAAAGAACTTGATACTGGGAGCTATAAATACGCAGGCCGAATTTGTTATCCAGTCGCCATACTGCAATGCCTTCCAACCTCCTCCCCCAAGTAATTTACCTCCAACAAACAATGGGCAGATGGACCAGGTTCACCCTGCATATGAGCCAAGCGTCGTTTTTGAGTGCAAATATGAGCTTGACTCTATTGCTAACTTCCTCTCTCTCGGAAACCAATTCTATGAGGAGACCAAGTCAAAGGATTTCTTGACGCCCAGGTGGTATGAAGCTCTAAACACTGTTCTACGAGTATTGGACGAGCAGAGCCAGTCTACTTTCAATGAGAACGGGCAATATCGGCGCAATGAGTATACCTTTCAGCGACATACCAATGCTGGTACGGAGACCTTGAGCCTGATGGGCGTTGGCAACCCGCTAGGAAACGGTACTGGGCTTGTTCGCAGTGCTTTTCGACCAAGTGATGATACCTCCATCCTAGGATTCTTCATACCGGCTAATGCAATGATGTCTGTTGAACTAAAAAGAACAGCGGACACTCTATCTAAAGTCGGAGGAGATAAAGACCTGATTCAAAAACTCAAGCGATACTCTGAACAGATCCGGGAGGGTATCTACAACCATGCAGTGGTAACACATAAAGTCTGGGGTCAAGTGTTTGCTTTTGAGGTTGATGGCTACGGATCAAACATTCTCATGGATGATGCCAATCTCCCTTCATTACTAGCCCTGCCGCTGCTTGGGTTCGTCGATCAAAATGACGAGATCTATAAAAATACCCGAAAAATGATTCTCTCGAAAACTGGCAACCCTTACTACCTTACTGGATCAGCGTTCCATGGTATTGGTGGACCACATAGTAAGTTATATTTTCCATGTTATCTTTTCCCAACTTCACTTCTAACCGTCTTGGTGGCAGTTGGTCTACAGAATGCCTGGCCGATGTCCGTACTCGTACGTGCTCGGACTGCAAACTCCGATGCTGAAGTTATGGAGTCCATCAATATGGTACGTGATTCGTGTCTTCTAGGTCTAGTCCACGAGAGTGTGGACGTGAATCGTATCGCCAAATACACACGCAGCTGGTTTGCGTGGGCAAACAGCGTCTTCGCGCAAACCATTCTCGACCTGGCGGAGAATAAACCACATTTGATATTTGGTAAAGGCGCAAAGCCGTACATAGTTTCCTCTGACGCCCATATTTAATGAACGAGTAATTTTCAATTACTTCAATTGCTTTACTACTGCTTTCGTTTATGTCCTCTCCTTTTTGATACCAACTTTTCCGTTCCTGTGACACAGCAGCCTATCTATTTGCTTTAAATACAGCTTATTTTAGTAATTTTATTCATTACTATAGCTAAGTAACTAAGCAGCATAATTATACCAGCGTCTTCTCCCTGCAAACCGTGATTAGTAGCTTCGCCTTCCATTGACTCGGGGCTTCCTACGTCTCCAAGTCTCAATTCTCGACTGTGAATACTACCTGCGCGATACCAAGAATTAGATGCCTGAAAATGTATTGGAGAGTTAAGACTATTTAAGATGAATTAGCTCAACTCCTCTGTATCCAGAAATCTGCACAGATATAACCATGAAACAGCTATATCCTCGCGGTCCTGGCGGTACTGATATTTATGACGTTGGTGACAAGCAGAATGCCGAACCTGATTGGCTGAGAAATTCAAGATCGAACTCCCGAAGCCAAAAAAAAAAATAAAAATAAAATAAGATAAAAATCTTTTACAACTTGAACACAACCACTTTTTAACCCAGCACCAGACAGGACAGCAACCATGGCGGAAAAGAGGCGCGCCGACTTCTTAGACATAGGATCCGATGATGAAGGAAGCGAGGCCGGCTACAACTCTGAGGACTTCGAGGAATTGAAGGGGAAGGGAACGAACAAACGCAAGCAGCCCAAGAGCACAGATCTACAATCCAAACGTCGAAGGCTTTCAGACGATGAATCCGACGGCGGTGATAACCAGGATGAATCTGGTATACTGGATCTTGAATCTGCCATTGACGATATAACTCAACCTAGTAAAAACGGAGAGACATCGAGTCGAGTTTCAGCCGACCCAGCGACTCCAGGCGAATCCGCTACCCAAAAACTTACACCTTCAAGTAAAGCGACCAAGAAGAGCCGAAAAAATAAAACAGGTGTCATCTATATGTCCTCCTTGCCGCCGTATTTAAAGCCGTCTGCCCTAAAATCCATGTTGGTGGCACGCGGTTTTGGCCCTGTCACGAAGATCTTCTTATCGCCATATGTCCCTCCAACCAGCGCTTCCAGAGCTGCCATAAAAGCAAGTCGGAATAAGCGGCGGATGTACACTGACGGATGGGTCGAATTCGAATCAAAGAAAACTGCAAAGATATGCGCGGAGACCCTTAACGCTTCAATTGTCGGCGGTAAAAAGGGTGGCTGGTACCATGATGACGTTTGGAATATGAAATATTTACGAGGCTTCAAATGGACAGATCTCATGGAACAAGTGCAGAGAGAGAAGCGAGAAGCAGAGGCGAGAAGACGTATTGAGGATACCAAGGCCAGGAAGGAAGAGAAGTCGTTCTTGCAGGGACTGGAACAAGGGAAGATGGTGGAGGGTATAAAAAAGAAAAGAGAGGCTAGGGAGCAACAAGCAGGTGGTAATGAAGAGCCAGCGGATAAGAAGATGGAGATTAGGAGGGTTTTCAGACAAAATGAGGTCAGAGGGAACAGTGGTGGTTCTGCTGGTGCTTCTGGCAGCTCAAAGAAGGTTGACCCGGATACGCAGAGGGTCTTGTCGAAAATCTTCTAATCACAAGCGTTGATACGACTATAATCTGCTCTTAGGAACAGCGCCTTTTCTAAGGCCACCTCTATCAAAGCATCTCCCTGCGGCCTATCGGTGATATTTTGCCCAAGTCCAATAGAATCTCGAATTGGACGACCTACGCAGCAATACAATCTCAGTAGCGAACGGTGGCCTAGTGTACAGGATCGTATTGTCTGGTCCGCTTGTGATACCCGAAGGACGCTTCTCTCTAAGATGAAATATGCTCCTGTAAACTGCGTGCAAAGATGAATTTCCTGCTGGCTTTTTGATATCAAACCCTCCTACCTGTCCTTCGCCAGCACTTGATATACATAGCATTGTATACGATTATAGGAAGTGAAGAAGGGTTGCCTAGTATGCGAATTCTATATTTGCATTCCAGTTGCATCTGCTTCTCCGGGTTCTTGAGTCTGTCCCGATGTTGAAAGTTATACACACGGACAGGAATCCCGCAAGAAGTGTACGGCAATGTATATTTCATGTTGTTAGCAGGCAATGTTGCCTAAACGAAATTTTATTCTTTTTGTTAAATCACATGTAACAATAACCCAACGCCGCTATGTGCTCTTAAGAAGGAGAAAAATACCAGCCCATAGAATCTTCGACCACATGCCCACTGTGAGCATGAGAGCGGGCAAGGAATATTATAGAATAAAAAGAAGTAAACAGTGCATGAGCTGGTCAGTCATTAATTCGTCGTGGTGCGCCCATGCTATATTCCCTTTTTGTATGAAATCATGCTGATGTACCTTTCCCTTACTCATCTACGTGCAGCTCTTCGAAATCTTCTAATAGTTCGTCCACATTGATCTCAGGAACCTCATCATCATCTTCCTCCTCCTCCTCTTCTTCTACCATTTCCATAGCATCGGCTTCCACGTTCTTCGGTTTCTGGTTATGTTTTGCTTTATATAATGCCAATGTGCTGCGTAGCTCAGCATCCTCTTCAACATCGCGCGAGAACATTTCAAAGTCATCTTCCAGTCTGTTGTTGTTGTTCTGTTTCTTCGAAGGTCGTTCATCTTCCTCTTCTCTATCCAAGCGCTTGAGGCGCCAGTTGCGCTTCTTGTTCTTCCTCTTCCTTGGATAATGCTTCTTGACTAATATAACATCAGGAATTGTGGAGCCGTATGTATGGCTGGCTTCTATCTCTTCGAAATTGGCGTTGTTAAAGTTGGTTCCAGTCAGGTGGTAGCCCATGACGGTATCTCCAGGATGGAGAATACCGCCCAGATGTGTTCGAGCAAAGTAAGTTGTGTCATTCACTCCCAAATCAGAAGATCTAGCGACAGTTGCTTCGGCAAGGTGGTACCGGCCGCTGGATTGGCCAATTGCTTCTATATCCATGACAACATACTCGACGAGCTCTTGGATATCCGCCAGGTTTGCAAACGGGGACCTCCAGTAAATGGCAGAAGGAATATCCGCTGTCTGAAGTGTTGCAGGGTCGAGCACGTTGATAGATGTGCCAACTCTGTAGCAAAGAGTGAGTGGGGATATATTCCCAAGAGATCGAGCAAGCTTTATAGGCAGTGCAACAAGATCGTCCTTGCATATTGGTATTAGTTCGGCAGAGAATGTAATCTTATAGGACTTTGAAGAGGTATGGACATCCATAGAAATCAATTGCTGCGACTTCCTCACTCTTATCGGAGCAACGGATGCCAAAAAATCAACCATCTTTTCGGCATGATTCCTAGCGGAAAAGTAGAAGTCCAATCCGTCCTTCACTTCCTTTATATTTATCGTATCCTTGTGAGCTCCATGCTTAAGGATGAGCTGTTCGAGGTAGAGAAAAGTGCGCTTATGAGGAACTTTTTGCCTGACTTGGACAGATGCTCGCCATGTATTGACGGTGTATGATTTGGCACATTCGGGGCATTGCTGGGAAGCAACGACGTATTCGACTTCGAACGCTTGCTGTAGTATTGTGCCTTGGAATGCTTCCTGTTGAATGGTAATTTTCACCTTAAGTCGTTTCGAGTGTGGTTCAGTCCAAATAAATCCAGCATCTATGATGCGGACCTTCGCAAGACCCCTGAGCTTTCGCAGGCACAGCGCAAGTAGCTCGCGAGATTCTAGGGCTGCGCTAATCCACTGGGCCGGAGGTTGCAGCCAGCGCTCACAATCTTTGCAGCAATGCAGGGTTGCTTCACGCTGAACGCCTTCTGAAATGTCGATCGTAAGTTTAACGCAGTCTTCACATAGTGCGCCAGCGGCAGTTGTTCCATCTATAGGGGCGCCGCAGTTGCAGCAGAGGATCCTGTAAAAAAAAAAGCCCTTATCAGCGATAAGAAATTTATTTCATGGGTGGGGGAGACGAACGTTGCAGCTTGCTGTTGAGGATGAAACTCGACCGGTTGCATAGACACCGGGGCATCCAGGTCCATCGACATGGTGACAGCTGTACACAATAAATATCCTGAATGCTTAGAGAAGAAGAATAGAACCAAAGAAAAAGCTGGATATAAGAAGAAAAGAAGAAGCGTCGATTCGGGAGCAACAAAAGTCGAATTAATAAAACAATTCGACGAAAAATAAGAAATTCCTTAAGTGGGGATTGTTTGTCTTGTTTGTCTATTTATTAGTCATAAACATTACTAAGACATTATTAATATATCACGTGCAAAAAGCTTAACTAAAACTTTCGATTATCAAAAAATAAAAACTAAAAATATCGAGTTGGAGCGAAGAATCAAATAATAGAGACGAAAAGATCCGTGATTTGGTTAAGTGGTTCATTTGCAAGTCAAGAAGATGAGTGGAATAGCTTTGCAGGGATTCAGGTGCCATGCTTGTCGAAATGCTGCATTCCGCTCCTTTGCTGCCATAAGTAGTCTGTCGAGCTCTACACGACGACCCCAATCCTCTATATCCTACCCTGGCTCAAAGCTCTATCAGAGAAACGTCCGAACAACCGGAAGACGACAATTTTCTGCCCTCGGCTCCGTGCAATCCCAGGCGGATAGCGATCTACCTACAAAAACTGAAACAAAGGAGGACACGAGCGCAGAATCGTCACATATCCCGTGGTATCTACAGGACGAATCCCATAAGCCGAGTTCGCATCCTCTTAAGCAGCAGGAGTTGCCCCCTCTCCCCGAAAACCCGCCTCCTATATTAGAGAACCTTCTACAATATATCTCGGTAGATGCCGGGCTCGACGACCTTGCCCTCCTTGACCTTCGAGGTCTTGATCCTCCTCCAGCTCTGGGCGCAAATCTCATTATGATAATCGGGACAGCCCGAAGCGTTAAGCATCTTAACGTTTCTGGCGATCGACTATGCAGGTGGCTACGGAGCAATTACCAGTTGAGGCCAGTTGCTGATGGGCTCCTGGGAAGAAATGATCTTAAAATAAAACTACGACGGAGGGCGAGAAAGGCCAAAGTGACGGGCGATGCTAGCTCCTTGAACTCCCGAGACGATGGTATAACTACCGGGTGGATATGTGTTAATGTTGGGGACGTGGAAAATGGCCCATTGAAGACCAAAAATTCACGGAATCGGAATTTTATCGGATTCGGCGGCACGGAAGACAAAGTTCGGATCGTTGTGCAAATGCTTGTTGAAGAGACGAGATCCGAACTTCAGCTCGAAGCTCTATGGGGGAGCCTTCTTAACCCGGAGGCTGGAGAAATGAATCCTGCACCTCGTGATGATGTCTGGGGCGATTTATCTTCAGAGACCACTAGCTCCGGAAAGGGTGTCGACAGTATTGCATCTACGTTCAGCCAGCGGTTCCCAGGAAGGAGGCATATACATACCCAAGCCCGACCCAACACCCCTGAGCCACTATCTCATGAAACTCTCGGCGATATTGTTCAGGAGTCCAGGCCTGCCCTGCCATCAAAAATAGTAAGCACATCTATGGCATCCCCAAATGTCTCTTCTCTGTTGGAACAGTTATCCCGGTTGCCAGAGGAAGAAGCTCGTCGAGAACTTGGGCTTGGACCCGGCGACAGAGATTCAACCCTTTTCTTAAGGCTGTTTTACGAGGCAGTGTCGAAATCTGACACAGAAACAGTACTCATAGATAAACTGTCGTTCGCCCGAGCTGCCGTGCTGCTAAAGCACCCCGCGTATAGGAAAGCAGACCTGTACCGGGCATTTAAAAGTATGGCTGCTTCTGGGTGTAGCATCTCGGAGGAGCTTGCGATGGACACAGTTCGTACGCTATTATCGTTCCAAGGCCCCGAAAATGCGGCCAATGAACGCGTCCCTGAACAAGACATCGACCTAGCATTAAGAGTTTTGGAACATATGAGCCTTCGTGGAATCAATATCTTCAACGGTGAAGTATTTTTTCTGCTTCATAAAGCATCGGCATTTCAATCTCACGTTCCAGCCAACGACGCCCCTGGTGCAATGAACACCTCTGTCAACCCAGATTCTGTTTCAAAAGTACAGGTGGAAGAACTAGACCGTATCACGACTGTTCACAACCGATTGAGCAAATTAATGGCTTCTGCCAATGTCGACTTCGACTACAAGGACTATCCAGAATTATTGAAGATGTACTTTGAGCATGGAAATTACAGCAATTTCTGGCGCCTATGGCATCGAATACCCCTCATGCAAATACCACGGACAAAGGAGCTCTACCTACTCATGTTCCGCCTGCATGCTAAACTGGGGCATCAACGTCAAGCTGTCGATTGCCTCTCGTCTTGGGTACCTATGATGGCCCGAGAACAACCGCCCGTTGCTCTCGACGAGGAACTAACGAGAGCCATCATGGCCTGTATGTTAGTGGCAGATCCCGCTATAGACCAAAAGACAGACGATGGCACTGTGAGCCAGTTCACTCGGCTGTGGAAACAATGCTTGCGTGACCTTGAGTCTTTCAAAGCTGCGAATTCTCAATAATTACGGAGTACAGTCTTCGCATAATATATGTCACCACAAGTTACTGTACTATCACCTACTTTTTTAGCCCGTTGAATATGCTGCTGGATTGGATTTCAGCTGGGCGTTGATTGTATAACTATGTATCATTAATTATATCTTCCTGTACTATCTAGAATAAATCATGAACTAACATCTATGTATATCAGCTTGTTAACCAATATTCGCTCTTGTCTCGTCGGTAAGATGAAGCTCATGAGGCTCAAGTTTGGACCTCGGCATCTTTTGCTCCAGCCAAACTCACTTCACCTCCATGTTTTTGGCGCTTTCGACCTTCATCTATCAACACTACCAATTCCCAAGGCCAAACAAGCTCTTCATTGAAGGAAGGCCGCTGAACTGTCAAGATGGAGTATATGTCATCATTACAGAACAATTTTGATGACTTTAAACCATCTTTATTTGGTATTTTCGCGGCCTAAACCGGCGAGATAGCCCCTAGCTAACCGTATTGAACAGAACTCCTATCTGAACAACAGCTCTCGTCCCTTCTCCCCCCTTCACTCCGTTACCTCCTTGCGGTAGCTACTCACAGACATCCCCGCTATCTTCTTCGGGTACTAAACTCCTACGATGAACTATACGCCCTAGTGTCGCTTCTTGTCGAAGGGTATTACCTGCGAAACTTCGGTGGCTCGTTTACGGAGAACTTCTACTCTTTAAAACGGGAGCGCGTTCTAGCATTGAGAGATGGAGAGGTACCCCGAGCTCAACTTGGAGCAGGAGGGCCTGTTCGAGAGACACTAAAATTGCGCGACTCGGATATATGGCGAAATCTGGTGGTTATGGTCGGCATTCCGTATTTGAAACGCAAACTTGACGAGGGATATGATATCCATGCTGCTCCGCATGCAGCCCTTGTCTCAGGAATGGGTGGAGGTCCTCGATACCATCCATCAGATGAGCTGCCTCATAACCCAACAGTGAAGCAACGATTATTATTCTATTACAAATGGTTTTTGCGGAACGTTTACCCTTCGATAAATGGGGCCTACTACTTTTCAATACTGGCTTTCAATTTAGCCTACCTTTTTGATAACACCAAGTATTCGTCTCCATTCTTATGGCTGATAGGAACGAGAATCAGGCGATTGAGTCCAGCAGATCACAAAGCGATTGCAATGGCAACGGCAGCCAACACACCCCATACAGGCGCGTCGAGATCACGATCACGGCCGAGTGCTTTAAGCCTTTTAAATCCCCAAGCCATATACCCTCATTTACTAGGGTCCCTTAAAATTCTCTTGCCAGCGTCAATTTTCGCTCTAAAATTCCTCGAATGGTGGCATGCAAGCGACTTTTCGAGGCAACTTGCCAAACAAGCTACTCAGTCCATTGAACTTCCCGCTCCAGTGGTAACTGGAATACCGTCAAAATCCACTGCAACAGATGTTAAAAGTGAGCAGTCGACATTGGCAGAGGCAGATAGACCGAAACAGTGTCGTACAAAGTCTCCAATATCATCTATAACTCTACTGCCAATTTTTACTGTCCCTATACCCCCGGTTGATCCGGACACCTCTCAGACGCCATGCCCAATATGTCTTAATGCACTTGTTAATCCTACTGCTTGTCAGACCGGATATGTTTACTGCTATACCTGTATATTCAGATGGCTGAATGGTGAACATGACCGCCAAATCGACTTTATGAACGGAGCCGGTAATGGTGCTGCGTGGGAAGACGATGATAAAGATGACGAAAATGAAAAGGGTGGGAAGGATTCAGCCAGTAGGGAAGGGAGATGGGAAAATGGGAAAGGGCGATGTCCAATTACCGGCCGAAGAGTTCTAGGAGGAACAGATGGACTGAGGAGGGTTCTTGTATAAATATTTTAATATATTACGCATCATAAATCAATAATGCTGTCTTTCCGCGGCCTATTAAATACTCATATTCGGAAGTTAACTCGAAATTATAGATCCGACGATACTAGGTAAATTTCTATGCAACATGTATGAGTTTATATACACAGTAGTTAGACAAAATGCCTGTATATAGATGTAGACAAGAGAAAACACAAAGGAAGGCATCATAGCTTGCTGCTATTCAGCAAGAAGGGAATCAAAATCTACTCCAGAAGATGGGAATGCATGCCAATAAACGCCACACTCAAACATGCCTTTAATCATAAACCAAAGATTGGAAGCAGTGAAAACTTAAAAAGGATGGAAGAGGTATCAAGGCCGATGTTCAATAGCTTGTTAGATGGAAATAGGGCCATGGCTATATACCAAGCCACCATTTTCCTCTCTCATAGACGAAGAAACTCGTAGCCACCATTGGTATGACTTTCATGTAGCCGATTGTCAAACCAACAAAGAAACCTTTGAATCCACGTTCAAGGAATATCTTCTGAGCCGTCTCTCGTATACCAAGAACATGTCCGTCACCAACTGCACCTCCAACTTGCATTCGTCGTCGGATAACCTCCAATGGATATGAGGATGTTTGGGATATGAGTCCTGCAACAGCGCCAGAGAACAGTTCAGCGGTGGCTGTTAACTGTGGTCTATGAGACCGCGTTTGTTCCTGGCCTTGCGGCGTATGTTTGCCGGAGTGTGGGATGGTGGTGTATTTCTCTATACTGGGATGACGAAGCCAATCACCAACAGTGTCGTGTGTAAGGAAAGACATGCCTGCGTACGGCAACATCCCGAGCATTGTGGGAGAGAATCCGCGGTAAAAGTTCACAAGTCCATATCGAGGCTTGACCTTCTCCACAACAGCAGCCGCAGTAGATGCAGAAGCAGCTCCATCCGTGGAACTAGCAACGATGCTTCCTTCATTATAAATTTGGCTGAAAATATTTCGCAATGACGACTTGGATCCTTGCTTTGTTTCGAATGCCAGTCGCACTCTAATAAGTTCTAACGGATATGTGAAAAATACGGATGTGATGCCGGCTAAACTACCGCTAATCAGCCGGCGGAAGGGGGTTTCGTGTTTTTTGGAGGGTATTACGACAGCACGGATCTGTTCGTATGCTATGAATTTAATAGCAGCGTAGGGAAATATTCGAAGTAAAGTAGCTGAATGACCTCTGAATAGGCCACGAACACCTTCAGTGTTATTAATGGTTTTCATGGCTGAAGCTACGCCGAACCAACTGTTCGAATATTTTGCGAATTGGGGGTTTGATGTCTGAAAAAGGATTTTGACCCGATCCAAAGGTCCAACAATCGTTTTTGCCTGTTTTATAGAAATCACATTATTAGAACTTTGCGACTGATGCGAGAAATAAGAATGCTATACTCACAGCACATCCTGCCAACCCACCAGCCAAACCACTCCGGACTAGGTAGTCCCAACTCCTCTTGTCTACCGGTTTGACCGCGACCGTGCTAGGACTCGTCATGGCCATTTGTTTGCCTGTTGCTGAGTCTGAATGTATCCCGCGACTCGACGTAAGAAGATCATGTTCTCTCTCAGCGCCTGTCGAGCGAGAGCTGCTTGTCGTTGTCGCTAGAGGGCTATGTGCCATCATCTTCTGGATACCGGGGTAGCCTGCCCGTGGCACCCCTTCCCACGCTCACTCCGCGCTCTTCGACAAAAATACAATGCGGGACGCTAGTTAGTTAAAGAACGAATTTAAAAGAGTCTCCGGCGGACATCATATAGACTGGTAAACATAGAGTGACCGATATCGAGAAGACAGAGGAATAAATCAGGGCCACTGTCGTATAAACGGAAGAGGAAAGAAACGGAGCACTGCCTGGGAAGAAAGCGCGGACGGTTATTTTATTGTGTCCGTTCGTAACGTCATGAGTTTCTTTTCGTTTCGCTTTCTCTTTTTCTCTCTCCTGGGATTGGCGGGTGCTTGCGGCGCAAAGGCCGTGGCACGTGAGCGGCTGTCCGGATACGGTTTAGCGTCGCTGAGAAACTCCCGATGAGCCGCGGTAAAGAGTCACGTGTGTAAAACATGGTCGGAAGTCGGTGCCGAAAAGCCGAAGCCCCTTGATATTTGAATTCCACGGAATGGGATTGATCAAAAAGAAAGCAGCAAAAGTACAAGAATTCTATTGTTAACAGGCAGACGCCAACTGATATTCCGCCAGATCAGTTCTGATAGATACACCTGACTACTCCTACCAGGATAGACAATATACACGGTAATATTCTTCCAATATAAGAGACGAGAGGGAAAAACAGTGCGTGCTCCGGCCCACACCAAAATGTCGCTAAGTGCAGTCAGTCCCAGGAACAAAAAGAACAGAAAGCAATATATATATCTCTTTTTGCAAGCCACCCTCGCCAATAGATATGTCGTAAGTCGTTAAATCCCCGTGGTTGTGAAAGTCTAGTGATGCAAAATAAAGATAATATCCAAATGAAACAATGCTCCAGTTAAGAGACGTGTTATGGGCGATGATGGTCGAAATAAAAAGTGACGGTATGGGTGGGGATAGATGAATAGAGAAAAGAAGTTTTGGGAGAGATGGTTTATCTCGTGCCCTGTCGACCAAGAGGCCTGCCCTGGCGATTAGTCATTCTGGTTTCCTTTGCGGATTCGGCAGCGGCAGCTTTCTTAGCGCGTTTCGTCGGCCGCGCTGATTCAACATGCAAATGACCGATTTCCTTCAAAGCTGTCAGATTTCGCCATTTGAGACATCCACGTTTCTGATCTGTGGCCTGCCCCTTAGTTCGTGTTGACATGCGCATGGCCGGTTGATCGCTTGACTCTTCTGCAGGGGCATTTTTCTCCGCGAGGTAAGCCGTTCGGTTTTCCATATATTTCGCAATATGGTTGCGCTGAAGCTTTAATTCCTTGTGAAGTTTAAGCTCCCTCACACCGCGGGTATCGAGCCATTCCATCAGTTTATCCAGGTCTTCGGGGGTATCGTAGTAACCCCATTCTTGAGCAGAAGAAACACCGGAAGATCCTTCTTCAGCCTGTTTCCGTTTCGCAACGGTTGTTCCGAAACGCTGCTTGTATTCTTGGCTCACTTGTTCGGGAACGTCGATAAAGCCTTCCCGCTCCATTTCGTCGGGACCTTGTACCCAGAGACGACCATTGGCATAGTTTGCTGAGGCAGTAGAGCTGTCAGGCAAACCCTCGTAGGGCATCCCATTCCTCTCAAACCAATAATAGCGATTCCAGAAGCGGTCTTTGCCCAAGACCCTGGTCCGTGGGCAATCTGCTTCTCTCAGGTCGTTATCTAGGACTGCAATCTCACTTTCAATGGAAGCAACCTTGCTCTTTTCATCCTCCATTTTCTTTAGGACTCGCTGGTACTGCTTTGAGCCTTTCGGTTGCTTGGTAGCCTGTTCTTTTCGTTCTTTTTCAGCTTCCTGTTTCCGCTTACGTTCCATGGTTCTGTCAACTCCTCCTCTCAGAGAGGGACCAGTAGGTTCATCCGAATCTGTCGCAGCGCTTTCAGCGTCGTCTGTAGCGTCAATCTGGGCATCCAGCATTTCCTCATCCTGCTGAGTTGGAGTATCCCGCTGCTCGGGCTCAAGCTGCTTTCGCTCTTCATGGAGAAGCCTAATTTCTTCAAGGCTGTTCATTATTGACATCATTAGCAACGTTCTGGTTATACGTGAATTAAAGGATCACTTACACAACTTTTCGAGCTCGTTGAAGTTCGATTTTTTCCTTGCGGAATTCGGTCATCTGGTTACTGCATTCCTCCATATAATTTTTCACCGCTCTTGTTTCAACAGTCAGCATACAAATTATCTGCAGAATCTGAATGCGGAGGTTGACGTCCAGAGTCGAATATTGGATTCGGGCTGTTTCTTGAGTTGGATCTGCATCCAAAGGTGCCATATGAACTAATATCTCCTCGCAAGCCTCCTTAAGCCTGGGTTTTAAGGATAACCGGTTTAGCAGACCAACAAGGATCATTTCCCAGCCGCCATTTTTGAAGTCTCGTTTTCGCAAGCGATCGATCCAGTCGTATTCCAAAAACATATCAGCCGCACAATGTTTTTTGACTTCCGCAGCTTCCGTTTCAGGAGGTTTCTGCTGTTCCATTTCAGCAAGTTCCGCTTGCGCCTTTGCAAAGCTGCTTCTAGTAGTTCGTCTTGGGGGTTCCGGCTCCGGCTCCGGCTCCGGCTCGCTTTCTTCTTCCTCCGCTTCAGATTCTTCTTCTGGTAGAGCTGGAAGGGAGATTTGAACGGCTCCATCTTGATCTGATTCAGCATTGACCAGAGTCTTCAACACGGCGCAATGAATCTCTACTAGTAGCTCACAATCCATGTCATCCGAGGAAAATTGAATTGCCTCCACGAAATCATCAAAGGTAAAGGAGTCCAGCTGGAAAACTTCACAATAGACATTCAAAGTGTTCCAGGTTTCGAGTAGAGCTCCAATAGAACTCATCTTTATGCTGGATCCCTCCTCACGGGCCTCATCTTCATTCAAGAATTTCAAAGCTGGCCGAGGTGGACGGTCACTTGTGGGCGGTAGGTCTAAATCCTCAATGGGGTATTTAATTGGCGGCGGTAATGGACTGGGAGATTTCTGTTTGATGACAATTGAGAGGTCGTTAAAAGAGTTCTCGTGAGGGTCGGGAGGTGGGATAACATCCTTGTTGACGCCCTTTTTGTCTACCCTGAAAGATGGGTTGCCGTTAAGAGCTCGTCGGTATGCTAAGTACTGTTCTTCCTTAGCCTTGGCGAGTTCGTGGGCTGACTTTGCCTTTTGGCCCTTATTTCTTGAATTTATCGGCCGACTCTGAGAAGCAAAAAAGCCAAACATGGCCTCATCTTCTTCCTTTTCGGCGGATACATTCGCTTTTTTGCCAGCTTTGTTGCCATACTGCAGGTGTTTGGGGACTTCGGTGTCGATATGGAAATGTTCCGCAATTTGAGGCTTGACTAACCAGGGGGCGCCGCTCCATGACTCTCGTGTGACCGTATTCTTGATGAAGGAACGTAACATCTGTTTAGTGAATACTTTCCTGTCACGGACAAGGTGTTCATCATCAACAAGGGCCTCTTCGTTATTGCGATTTGTGAGTTTGACCAGGTAGCGCGAGCTTGCACGGCGCTCAACCCTGCCTTCATGCATAACCTCAGGAAACTTTGCCTTCTCCCTGACTATTCCATGTATTCGCGACCCGTTGGATAGAAGAACTGTTACGCGCTCTCCAGGATAGAAATCTTGCTTGAAGTCCTACTAAATGTCAGTTGCTATCATGGAGACAGGATACAAAATCACTAACCTCGAATACCTGATCCACTATATAGCGAAAACTGGTTAGCAAATAATAACTCATAGATCAGGAATACAAGGAAATACACACCAAGACTATCTATGCGCGAGATGGTAGAGAATTGAACCCTGCGCAATACAGGCTCCTTTAAGGATTCTGGGAATGCACTGTTGACTTCTCTTGATCCTTCGGTCTGCGAAAAAGTATTCGATAAGCTGGCTGTACCCCGCAATTTTTTGTCCCTGGCCGAGGGATTCCCCCATACCTCGCTCGTCAGTGCCTCGAAGAATGTCAGGGAAGAGTGGCCAGTGATTTCGCAAATGAATCGCCTCTGAATTTGAATTTAGCGGAAGGTCAAACGGTCGTGAAGCTAAAATGAATTGAAATAGATATTACCTGTTTATAGAAGTTCATTCTAAATATCGAGTTTATTAGCAAACCATTCTTTTGAAATAGGTAAAGATAGTGGCAGTATAAAGTACTCACCGCTGCAGGAAATGATCATAGTTGGTAAACACTTCATTCGTTTCCGGGATAACCCAGACCTATACACCTGTTAATATGCGTCCAGGTCCACAGCACAAGGAACAGCAGTGTATAGGGAAGTTGCGTACCTCGGAGTTATCATCGTCAATTGTGGGTTTGGGCAGGTATTGCACCGGCTTCCGCTTAAACAGTACCTAAAGTAAGTCCATTAGTTATATTCATAATGGGAAAAAAAAAGGTACTATGAATATAGGCTTGGCCTAGGACATACCATCTTCAGCTTCAGATACCAGAATATATTGGGAAAAGGTTCAAAAAGCGACAACACATGCGATCAAGAACACACAACCCCTTCCAAAGACCGGAGCAAGCTCAGAAACGCGAAAAGCGGGTAGTAACCAATCATGTGCAAAATCCTAGAAGCTTTGCGAATAGCAGGGCGTGTACGTGGTTTGTCCTGTAAAAAGGTAAGGAGAGGAGGTAACTGTGTCAAGAAAGCAGCAGGATATCCGCTTATTATCTTGTGGTGATATTCTGGCGCAAGTCAGTGAGTTATAAAGTCCATATTGAATTGGAGACAGCTTCGGCCCGGGCAAAGAGTGAATTCAAGAAAGTCTAGCCCAGGCACGGATATCTCAACGCGTATAAAACCGGCTCTAGGCAGACTTGAGAAGGAAAATGGCTTCTGCTCACGGTAGAATTAGGTGGTGGACGCGTCGTTCCTGACGCCTTGCATGCCCTGGATGTCCGCCAAAAAGGAAAAAAAAGGTAAAGGCCTCTTGATAGCTGATCTATAGCAGTTGGTATGGCGGAGAGAGAGAGAGAATGACTGGACGGTACGCGCGAAGGGTGCTGTCCTAGTCGGCGGCGGCGGTGGTCTTCGTTGAGGTTGAGGTTGAGGTTGCGTAGTTGTAAGAAGAAAGAAGACGAAGAGAGGAAAAAAAAAAAAAAGCGGCAGAAAAAGCGAAGGAGGGAAAAGGGAAGGCGGCGGAGGGAAACCTTAGCCTGGTCAGTGCGGGAACTTCCTCTTAGTTATTATTTAGTTCAGTTAGCTCGCTCCAGCACCGCGAGCAGCGCCGGCGACGGGCAGGCGACGCAGCGACGGGGCCCTACACGGCGTGCTCATTGCCGGCGGTAGACGTGGTAGAGGCAGGATGGAGCTGTTGAGACAGCTGTGGGAGCTTGTCGAGGTGCGCTCCTGATCGACGGCTCCTGGTTTCAGCGGAGCTCAGAGGCCCGGGGACTGACGACAGGAAGGGGGGGGGGGGGGGGGGGGGTCCCTGGCGGCATATGGACAGGCAAGACGCTCCGGAAGAGGATAAGAAGATGCAGAGAGACGATGCTGGGCATGCATGATGCCGACGAGGCGGTTCAATGGCAGCCGAAGTGGTTTTTGTTACTGCTTTCATACAGAGATACCGTCGAGTCTTCACGATCTATACCGAGTGTATTATTCGGGTGTTATTTATAGCCAACCACGCCCTGATATCAACATCTAGACATGGACACTCAGCTCGCAACATCCTGCCATCCAGCTGTCTCTGCTATATCGGTCCTTCATTAGTTTATGTACAGCTACGGCTACAGCTATGCACTATCTGATCTGCCCATCCTTTGGTTATGAGTTGTAGTTGGTGAACATGCAGACTTGGCGTCTGAAGCCGAAAAGCCTACTTCATCGGCTTAATGAGGAAAAGAAGGAGAAGGAGGGCCACAGAGTGATGCATGCATGTAGACCCTCCTCTCGCCACCGGAACGACGCATAATGAGTAGCTACGTTTTCCGGCAGCATGGTGATGGCGATGGGGCCTTTCTCCCTCGCCTTGCGCCGTTTTTGCCTCCTGCGGGTTTGCCGAGATCTCTGCCTAGGGGGGGGGGGATTAGGGCCTGCCCTCAGCTACTTTCCCCCGTCCACCCGCCCCCAGCCTCCAGAACCACCCCGTATAACCACTCATTCTGCTCGGAAGATTCCACACAATCAGGGTATACTAATTCCTTTTTCTATTTCATTCTTAAAGGTGAGTTAATTTAGTAAAGGCAATTATACCCCTACAGCACTTAGGCTCCCCTTTCGGGAACAGCATAGTATGGATATATCCGCACTGGGTTGCTTAATTCTCTAGATCAGATATCTCTATCGGTTTACTTTTTTTGGATATTGGCTGCCTAAGTAGTGAAATAGACTACCATGAACCCTGCCCAGCTCCCCAGGACGCCCACAGCAGCATATGCACTGGTAAACATTAGCGGAAGGAACTCATATCGCTTTCCAAACACTATTCCATGTACCAGTGAGCAATAGACAATCAGAGGTATCGATACAGTGTCGTAGAGCAGCGAAAATCGATCAAGTAAGAATACACGAGGTCTCAATGGGGCGGGTGCAAGGCGGCCAAAGACGAAAAGAAACAGCACCAGCCAGAAGATGGTGTAAACGGTTTTGACAGGAAACTCGGCAGCGGTGAATAAAAGTGGGAACAGGGAGACGTGGCCAGCCACTGCGAGTGGGCGGAAGGCCCCTAGATATCGCCGGTCCTTGAGAGCCAGCAGGCTAAACGGGATGATGATCAGAAGAACGGCCTTCTCATGGACGTGCCAGCCAAAGAGAAAGGCTGCAAATGCACAGTTGGTCACTGCCCCCACAAAGGTATCCCAGTCAGGTTGGAACCACAACTTCACAAGGCATAGCTGGATGTAGTTAGTCTCGTAGTCCTCTTTCGTAGTTATATATGTAAGTTGGCCCACGGGTGTGGTGAACTCACAGCTTGGAATACAAACGTCAGCCCAAAGGTATACTCTTTTGTAATCTCTGGAAGGACAGCGAAGGCAGTGTCTCCAACTAGCCCTCTGGTCACGCTGGCCAAAGCACTAGTCTTGACAGGTAGGCCCAGTCTAGGCGCAACTACGGTCTGTTAGTAATGGGGGAATGGTTGGGGTAACAAGATTAAACAGTCATACCAAGTATGAGTACTCGATCTAGAAAAGAGTACATTGCCCAGATATTCGGTGCCCAATAGGCATGGCATAGGCCTCTGGAAAATGGGAAAAGCCTGTCCTTGAGTTGCAAAAGCTGACCCCATTTTGCAAACGGTCCGAATGCTGCAGCAAAAACGCCCACAACCCCCACTCCAAGCTTCGCGATGTTGCCAAATTGAGGCCTGAACATGGAGCTTGGGTGGAGGCAATAGGCTCGCAGGAGAAAAACAAACCATGCCAGCGATAGGTAGAGGTATATGTGCTTAAAACAGAGGAGAATAGCGAAGGTAATGCCACTGTATAACAGGGTAGACTGTCTTCGTGCCAGGACAATTGAAAGAATAAGAATCCCATACAAGAACCCGTTGTACTGGAAATGAACATGGTCAATGATCAGCAGGCCAGGAGAGAGTAGAATTGACAAGCTGGCGGCATGGGCCAGTTCTTTAGCCGCTTGGTTCGGTGCAGACTTGATATATCTTCACCACGACAGCAAAGTAATCCCGGTCAGCGACACTTCATAAGCAGATATTAATAAAATTCGAATTCTCACCTATTCAAGGCATAAACAAGCATCAGCTCAAGAATAATAACTGAGCTCCGCTGGAAGTACACCGTTTGCCAGGAGTCATAGTTTTGGTTCTGCACCTTGAGCATATCCGGGTCCATAAATGCAGCAATCTGGGATAGACACCATTCTAGCCCAGCAAAGAACGGAGGATAATCCAGGGTCCATTCTGATGTTTTCTATACATGATTGCCTTTCATTAGCAAGACTGCTTTGAACCTGGCTGTCGGCTTACATACCTCATAGTACCATTCCTTGACCGGGAGAGAATGAGTGATCGCAAGCCAGTTGCGATGAACTTCAAAGTCGGTAGATTTGCTTCCAATCCAGCTTGTCAGCATCATTCCATTTTCTGTTTCTGCGCTTCTCATGTGGCAGCCAATGCACTGAACTGGGGGATAAAATGCGACATACTACGCTGGGAACAAGAGGATCTTAAACGCAGCAGCCACAAGGGCGCATTGAGTCAGCGAAGGATAGAAGTCAGCCATGGTCAGCTAGTCATGGCTAACCCGTCTTCTTCGGCTCACGCTGGTTCTGCAGCCAGGCGACGAGATGGATTCTGTTGATATCCGGTGGTGATGGTTGGCGTTGGGCTTTTGATGTTGATTTTCAGTGTGAAGTCGGAACTAAATAACTAAAATATTCTACAAGCGCGACCCCTTTTCCCCCGTCAGCGGCCGACTTCCTTTCATACTGCTGTACGACACGATAAGATACACCAATGGCTCATCATCACCTGTCATACCCATCAGTATCTCTTAAATACTTATACACTGCAACTTCTACGGCGAAAGGCAGCTATGAGGGAGAAGGGTCAGCGAAGAGATGGGCGATAAATTGCCTATCTTGGCTTGTTTGCGTGGTTTGCACCGCGGCAGCGCCAAAAAGGACAAGCTGGCTCGACAAATAAACAACAAACGGCGCTGGCGATGCTTCAACGGGAGGCCAAAGACGCAGAAGAACGAGCAATTCCTTTGTTTTCTTTTATTCTTTTGACTTATAGACAGCTCTCGGCGGCTGAGACGGTTCTGTGAGGCGATTGGGGCCGGCAGCTCTTTTACACCGTTCTAGATTGACTAGTTACCCGCGGGGAAAGGCTTCATTAGTTCCTACCACGAGCTTCGACAGGCACAAGGGCAAACCAGCTGCCCGAACACAAGACGATACGACTTCACATCCCCGATATACCGCATAGATCGAAAGAATACATCTATAGAAGGAGACTCCTTGCTTTTTGCGTTTCATTCTGTGGCAGGCTACTGCCAATTCGACATTCGACCGCCAATTCTATACTTCAAGATAGCTCGTCACCATGGCACAATCACTGAGCGCCGGTAAAACTGTTTTATGGGCTTTGATATCCGCTACGCTTTCTCAAGCAAGCTCAGTCATGGAGAGATCTAGCTTTGGAAATGGACGAAGGTGCGTTTGGGACAGCATGAGCCGCTTGATCGCAAGTAGTGGCTTCCAGTGGCTAATGGCTCGCCGGATTCATATAGAATGTCCCATGTCGGCAATGGACTGCCAGGATGGACCGTATCTGGCTCAGGCTTTCTCCCAGAAATGGTACAGTATTTTTTTGTTTTTACCATTATCCCCCACTGACGTTCCGGACACAGCGTGCTGACAGCTTAATTACTCGTCTAGTTGTCCGATAGAATTATCTTGACACCACCTTACCCCGGCAACAAAAGAGGTGCATTATGGGCTGAAGACATGTAGGATCTACCTGCGATTATTATGGGAGCTTTATTTCGAATAGGAGGGCTGACCGGATACACAGAATACCCGACTCAGAATGGCACGTAGCCTTCGATTTCAGAGCAAATGGAGAGGAGAGAAGCGGAGGTAATATACAGCTTTGGTACGTCAAGCAGGCGTCGGCCGTTGGGACGTCAAGCATATATACTGTTGGAAAATTTGATGGTCTCGCTATCACAATTGATACACACGGAGGCAGGGTGAGTCCAGCTTACTTTCGCTACTTTTGCGCATCTAGTTCTAGCCTCGGCCTAACGTGATTGGTATCTAGGCCGGCATTCGAGGCTTTTTAAACGACGGAACCACAGACTACAAAGGCAGTGGTAATGTGGATGCTCTAGCTTTCGGTCACTGTGACTATCAATACCGCAACCTAGGCCGTCCATCAAAGCTACAGGTCAAGCAGTCGAGTCGGGAGTTTGAGGTCTTGATAGATGGAAATACTTGCTTCAAAACCCCAAAGGTAAAAAGCTCCCTTGGTAAATACACGGCAACATTGAAACTAAATATACTCCATAGGTCTTCATTCCCCCAGGGAACGTTTTTGGTATCACAGCCGCCTCGGCTGAGAGCCCTGACTCATTTGAGGCCTTCCGCTTTGTAGCTACCACCTATCCTGGCAACAACCAACAACAGGAGAGAAGACAGGAGTCTCAGCACAGACCTGGTCAGGCCAACTATGACAAAGCACCAACTGGCAGCAACGTGGATATCAAGGATCTCCAGGATCGGCTCCAGGCCATCTCTAGTACAACCAACAAGCTAATTGATGAATTACACGCTCTATCAGCCACCAGCGACGATAGACTGAAGGAGATCATCCGCATGGTTTCTCACCGCGACCAAGTGAGCAGCGTGGACCAGAGACTTCAGCGCGTGGAGCGAATGGTCGAGTCTATGCAGAGGGAAGTAGAGGGCAAGGATTATCATCACCAGTTCAGACAACTGCAAGACCTGTTGCATAACTCTCACTCCGGCCTGCTGGATACCCTCCACGATTCATCTCACCGTACGTATACGTCTTTCATGACAGAGATGCTCAAATCTAGACTAACACATGGTAAAATATAGGTATCATCTCAGCCGCTCCACGCATGGGCTTCTTTATTGTCCTTATAATTGCCGTCCAGCTTCTTCTCGCGGTTGCTTACGTCGTCTACAAGAAGCGTAGAGCCAGCATGCCGAAGAAGTTCCTATAGATAAGGAAACAGCAAATTAACCAACCATATAATGTCTTGCATTGATTTACGTAGCTTGCTTGTCTGCTTCTTTTCTGCTCGGGTTTCTACAATTTGTTTCTTTTCATAGCATTTTTTCCATATCCCATCTATTTGTTCGATTCATCGCCTTAGGCATATTGTTTGACGATGTTGATTTTCGTTCCCACTGCCTTTGGGCCTGTATACTAAATAACCAGCTATTGTTCAAATATTATTTTGTGTTGAACGGATGATAAAGGGAAGTGTCTTTGATGCTACAGCCTACAATGATAAGTCTACGAGAGATTTTAATACTTTGAAGACTCAATATTTGGAGTAATCTGTATTATCTACTCAATACTATTCTACTACCTACCTACCTAATCACTACGTGTCTACCTGCCTACTGTCTACGGCCTACGTATTGCCTACAAAGAAACAAAAAAACCAAACAAACAAGAAAAACAAAATGTGTGGCGTGAGATGTAGCAAGCTTTAGCTCGCTGTCATATTGATACTTTTGGTAAAAAATAATATACAGGATAATGGGACAATAGAAGTGAAGAGGCAAAGTACAAGCAAATCAAATCAAAGCAAACAATGTCCGTTGGATGGGTGTGGCGGAATGTAGACCCCAAACTCGCTATAATCAGCGGCAGAGTGGGAATACGCTGATAGAGTGGACATGTCGTAAGAGAGAGCGTAAAAAAGAATTGGGTATAAAGGCACAAACGATTAGCAAGAAACCCGGGAAAAACAAACAACGCCGTAGCCATCTTTTATCTCGCTTCAAAGTCCCATGAGAAAGTAAAAAAAAAAAAACAAGGTAAAGAGCAATGCTATGCATGCTTTGATCAAGGAAACAAACAAAGTCCCATAAACTCCGCCTTTTTGGTAGGCCCATGCAATGACGCTCAATCTAATATGTCAGTTCCGGAAGAAAACGGGGTGAAGACAGGGAAGCCAAGTGTGGATCGGTTTCGAGAGGTTGGTATGACAAGCGGTAGTTATTTGACGTGGAAGTATGTATGGTATGGCAGTAATGGCTCGCAGTCAGATTGTGATTTGTAGATAGCCCATAAATAATGGGTTGTAGCCGATAATCGACAGTGTTGTTGTTATTTATTTTTGGAGTCACTTGTGGTAATAGCATGTTGGGTATCAGTGAACAAGCACCTGAGGCCAATCTCATGGGTATATTATTGCCTGTTCGTTAAGCTGAGCTAGGTGGATTCTCTGCCCTGATCCCATATGTAGGTATATGTGGGTTGATGGGAGTTTGACAGAAAAGGTTTTTTTTTTTGTGCTCTTTTTTGCTTTCTGTTATCGACCTCAGGAGCAGGAGGCCATGCAAGACCGACGGTCATGGTTCTGGGGGGAATCATACGTCCTGTCACTTGAGGAAGTTGAAAGATGCTATAACGGGCACCGAGTTGAGAGCTCCATGCCTGTGTTTTTTTTTGTTTTTTAGTGGGTATGGGCAGCATGGAGATGAACAAGGGCTTGAAAAGTGGCTTTTTTGACCCTTTTTTGAAAGGCAACAGAGGACTTGACGCTGATATGCTGGATTGGTGACTTGGTGACTTGATAATGCAAGTGATATTGCAGATGGCGCAGATATTGCAGATATTCCAGACGTTGTTGGTTATGCTTTGCTGGTTATGCTTTGCTGAATGTGTTTGAAATGCTGACTTGTTGCCTTGATGGCTGGTGCTGGCTGGTGCCGCTGAAGATTCGTCGAAGGAGATGAGAGTGGTAATTGTTTGGCTTCCCTGTCTTCACCCTGTAGTCAACCAGGAACATACAAAACAAACGGTAAGGGGAAACAGTGACATCTTGAGGGGGGATATAAAATCACAAGAGGATAAGGTAAGTCAGGTCAGTAGAGCCAGCAAGGCCAGTCAGTACAGGGTAAGGGTAAGGGTAAGGGTAAAGGATGCAACACCAGGAACATCACACTCAACTCACAGTTAACCGAACAGAGGAGCCCGACCAGTCACAGCCGCAGCTTGTTATCAACGCAGACCCAAGTTAGTCACGATGGGCTGCGTATTGCCGCGAGCAGAGAGGAAGAGACATGAGTGCGCCAGCGGGTATGACGAGGCCAAAACAGACACAGGCACATCATTCCAATTGGAGAGTGTTGACAGGATTGGTCCGTACCTGTTGAAGAATGCAGACACAGCCATCAGATACACATATTGATCGAGGGATTCTTCAAGCACATTTCGTAGAATTGGCACCAGTGCAAGAAGCACTGGAACAAAACACTGGATCTAAACCAAACCTGCTTGTATTGGTGGGTATAATGTCGGAGTATCCAATGCAACGGGACGAAGCAAAGGATGTGCAGGACGCTGAAGCCTTAAAAGGACGGCATTCAGTTGGTAGATCCAGAGGTCGGAGTAAGCGCAGCGATGCGCTTTCCTACCAATTCTTGAACGGCCTGAAGAATCTCGAGTTCATTGGAGCAGGCACGGAACCCTTCGGGCGTTCCGTCAATGAGGCCAGACATGATCTGCTCCGCTCGCTTGGCCCCTGAGTTGCCAGAGATGTCCATCAGGCCCATCACGGCATCCTGCTCGGCCGACCCAAGTTGAGAGAAGGTAGGCACCGCAGGCGGCACCTCATCCTGTCCCTCTCCCTGGGTACGAGTTTCATCGCCAGCTTCTTTTGCTCTGGCCTCCTCCTCCGCCGCACGTTCGCTCAAAACGTGCGTAATGAACCCATGGACGAGTCCGCGCTCCCTCACGCGGAGGACGACAGCCTCTTGGTCCAGCTCTTTGATGACGCTCTCCTCGTCAGCATCGGGCAGGACCTCGATGTCCACATACTTGGGGTTACGGGGTCGTCGGACCCTACCCGGGTAGTGTTGTTCGAGGGCGTCCTCCAGGTGATTCGGGCATCTCCAGTAATGGTAGGGCTTGTCACTCCCCGGCTTCTGGCGAGGGGGATTCGCCATCGGCGGGTCGAGACAGTCCAGATGCCAGGCGGACGGGCAGTAGTCGCAGAGGATGACCGGTCGCCGGTTCTCTGAGGTCAGACCACATCGAACACAGGCGATGACCTTGCCGTGGGAGTCGAGGATCCGCAATGGATCCTGCTCCTCAACGACTCCTCCACGACTGCCCCGGGCTGGTTTGGCCCGAGTGCTGCCCTCGGGAAGTGCACGCACATCCCTATACTCTCCTCCAGGGCCGGTCTCAACCTCCGCGAAGTATTCGCGCACCTCAGCCGGCAACGAGAAGCCGGTCTGCGGGACGCTATCCATCACCTCCGCGAGGCCCCCCAGAAGACCCTTCTTCTCGCAAGCCGGACAGAACCATTGGCCTGCCGGTGGAGATTTGGGGTCGACTGGAGGTCGCAGGCAGGTGAAGTGGAAAGAATCCACGCAGCCGTCACAGCATAGAAGCTGCCCGTTGCCGCCGCACGCACGGCAGAAATCGATGTTATCGATCTCGTCCGCTTGTACCCTCGGTTTGCGAACTCTCTTGGATGATGAGCCGCCGACGGTGGTAGGCTTTCTGGCGGCTCTGTCCTTGGGCGCCGGAGCCACTGGCACAGGTCTGGTCGACCCCTGACCCTCGCTGTCTGATGGGACAGAAGGACCTGGGAAGACCCAGCCCTGTGGTGGCTCCATTGCTGTCCGGACGTTGCTTTCTTCGGCCTCGTCGGTCACGGCGATGGTGGCCTCCTCTAGTGCTCTGCGCTTCGCAGCGACAGCTTCTTCCGAGAACTCCGGGTCCTCCTCCAACTTGCGCTTCCGTGAGAAAGCCGAGTTGGTTGGGGGGGCCGCGTTAGCTCTCGAGGGACCGGCACGCCGTCTACCGCCTCGAGCCCGGGATCGGGGAGCTCGCGCTCCCTTACCCTTGGCTGAGGTGGTGGTAGGGGCATTGCCTGAGTCCGGCTCAGCAGCGACAGGGGCGAAGGCATCGGCATCTAGGGATTTGGCCGTGGAGAGCGACGACGTGGTAGTCGCCGATGCAGTGCGTACCATGTCGGTGGCAGCGGCACTGTCGTCCAGTTGTTGTTGCTGCTCTGGTTGGGCTTGGGCGCGCTTGACTGCGTCCTTCATCAGGGCTTGGAAGGCGGATCGGTGGTGAGCGTCCGCCGATCTGTTGATGGCGCCCTCCAAGACACCAAGGAGAAATGGATCAGAGGCCGAAGCCTCCTTGATCCAACGGAGGCCACCTGCGACTTTGGAGTCCTGGGACTCCTCCGCACGCGAGATGGCTGATCCGAGGATGTCCATGAGCTTCTCCGAGGTGTACTTCCTCGATGAAGGGACGGCTGGCCCGGCTGACTGGCTGCTGTCAGCCGAGTCGTCAAGCTTGTCCTTGCCCGCAGCTCTCGATCGTGTAATTCTGATGGCTGGCGGCTGCTGGCGAGAACGCTCTTCGTGCTCGAGGACTCCCTGAATGATTCCCTCCGCACGGGAACTATCAGACAGGGCGGCGGCTTCCTCAGCAGAAGTAGAAGCGGTGCTAGGCCGCTCGTCGGCATTCTTCGTTGTCTGTTTTGGCTTCGCGGCCCGGCCCCCCTTCCGCTTGGTGACTCTGTTGGCGGTAGTGGTGGGCGCAGGGGGCTCGAGGCCAACTCGACGGCGGGCGGCCAAGGTAGGCCGTGTGCCTAGGGGCAGCATGGAGCCGTAAGGGCCACCCCTATTCAAGCCATACCCGCGGCAGGTGGTTTTGGGAATGGCGACGGGTGGTTCCACCCATATCTCTTCATCCGCTCGCGGAGCTGCGGCGGGAACTGGTTGCTCGGTCTCGGTACTCTGTTCTGGAGCTGGCAGAACAGACGACGACTGGCCGGCAAGCTGGGTGTCCTGGCTCTGAGACAGCCCAGCAGCCGTAGCCAGTTGCTGGGAGCCGGGCAGGACCGCCATCTGGGGGCCGACGGCCTGCTCCGGCTGTTCCAGCACGGTGTCCATCTGGCTGCCAGCTGGTTTGCGCTCTGCCTGGCGCTCTTCCTCCTCCACGACGTCCACCGGCGTACGCGTTTCGGTGCCGGTCTTGCGCTGTTTCTTTGGCCGGGCGGTGTCCGAGGTGGAAGAGGAGGACGGCCGGGAAGCAGGCGCACTGTGAGGAGATGATGGCCTGGTGTTGTTGCGCGAGGTGGTGCGCGAGGAGGACCGGAGACGAGGAGCCATCTCGTCAGCTTCTTTTTGTCGAAGAAGCTATTTCCCTCAAGAAGATCTGTAGAGCACGCGGTTAGCTTCAGGGCACGTAGATGCAGGGCGAGACCATCACTCACTGAGGGTATTCTCGGTCGAGTTGGCTTGTGCAGCTCAAAACTCGAGGAGTTGGCGATGTCGGTAACCGCGCAGTCCGGCGGTGGTTGGCTGGTGGTTTTTTTTTTTCTCGGGTGAGGTTGGAGATGTTGAGGTTTTGCGTCTTTCTTGCGGGTGGACAAGAAGCTAACGGCAGCAACGAGACGGTCAGCCACACAGAACGCAGAACAGGAGACCACCACGAACGGGCGGGAGCAGACTTACGAGGCCGGTGGGAGGGCGTAGTTTGATGCGTAGAAGAAGGTGGAATATGCAGAATCTCGAGATCGGGCGAACTCGAGGCTGTGGTGGTGGGCTGCTCGGTGGACTCAGGGGTTGGCCACCTGGAGGCAGCAGGATGGAAGATATGGCACAGAGGATGGCTGTATAGGCTCTGTGGATGTTGGTAGACGTCTGTAGGCGACGGTAGAGGACTGTAGTAGTCGAGATTGAGAGGTAGAAGGGGAATTGGTGGATGTAGAGAGCCGGCTGTAGACTCTTTACCTTAGTCTCTCTTAGTAGTTGAGAGAGCTGTAGAGAAGAGGGAGATCGACGATGAGAAGGTAGCAAGAGGATGACAGTATAGGCTCTTGATAGAAGATAGACGCGAAGATGGAAAAGACTGTTGTCTATGCTCGTTGTAGAGTAGATGTTTGATAGTGTGTAGAGGAGAATAGATATCTCAAACTCAGAGAGGAGATTTGGAAGAACAGACGCGGATTGAGCTCTTAGATGGTGAATATGATAGAGAGTAGAGCAGTCCTGGTCAGTCTTGACGGATAGAAGATGGCTAATGGTGATGTTGATGCTCTTTTTGTAGAGAGACAAGCAGCTCGAGAGCGCGTCTTGGTGGAAAAAGGCAGAGAAGAGGTAAAGCTATCAAGAGACAAGCCGAGAAAGATGGGAGAAGCTGAAGGAAGCGAGTCAACAGTTGATAGTCAAGTAGACGAAGACGTTGAAGACGAAGCGAGTGTGTGAAGCTGGTGAAGTTTGAAAAAGGCTGAGGTTGGAGTGGAAGAAGAGAAATTTATATCAAAACAAACAGGACTTCCTGATTAGGCAATGCGTGGTGATTCGGGGGTTTCCAGTGCAGAAAAAAAGGCAGAAGACTTACCAGGGAGTTCTATCAGGTTCGAAAGACGTGAAAGAGGCTGATCTAGAGGACAGGACAGGACAGGACAGGCTGATGATGAAGATGATGACGATGTAGAGGACAGGACAGAAGAAGGGAAGAGGGGCAGGAAAGGGGGGGAACTGCTTTTTTACTGGGTGGTTGGCGCGGTGATGTGGGAATGTATGTATTGTTTACTAGTTTGATATACGCTACTGTTCTGGAAGAGTCTGCGGCAAAGTGAGGGCAAGCAGGACAGCAGCTTGGTGGTGAAAGCGCCTTGAGGGTGTCGAGGGTGGCCTCACTTGAGCCTGGTATCAAAGGGGGGCTGATATGTATGATCTGTTTGATCTGTATGATGGTAATTTTTTTCTGGCACTGGACACTGGACACTGGACACTGGAACAGATATTGATATTCACTTGATATTCTTTTGATTTGACTTGGTATTGGTCTTCATTTGCTATTTGTGCGTTTAAGCTGTTCGGTTAAACAAACATAGGGCTCTCTCCGTGGACAAGGCCTGAGGGGAGCAGAAAAAGGGGGGAACCTCGTTCAAGGACAGACAGGCTGTCAAAGGGGAGTTTGGTTTGATATCAGAAGGTAAGCAGGTAACTTGCGCCTGACAGGTAGAGAGTATAAGGTAGAGAAGGAGAAAAGGGGTGGCAAAAAAGGGGGGGAAGGGGGTTTGAGGATAAAAAGAGACGCCCTTGCATGCACTTCATGTAGACCTTGGATGAAGAGAATGATAGAAATGGTAGAAGAAGATAGGAAGACAAGGAGAGAGAGAGACAGTCTACTCCTCATCGGAATCTTCTTCCTCATCGTCTTCTTCCTCCTCGACAGCCTTCTTTGCCGGCTTCTTCTTCTTCTTCTTGTTCTTCTTGCCCTTGGAGCCCGTAGACTTGGCCAGTGGGCGCTCCAGGATGGCCAGCACTTCTTCATCGGTGATCTTCTTGTCTGACTGGACCTTCTCCAGGTCAAGTGGTGGTGGAGCAGCCAGTCTGCTCAGTCCGTTTTTCAAAATGGCTGTTCTTGTGTTAGCATATAAAAGCATACATATATATTTAAAGGTATTAGAAATAGGTAACGTACCAACTGTTGTCAAAAGTCTCGAGACAGGAGAACCGTCTGCCTCTCCGGCTGGCTCGTACTGACGCACGACGCCACCTCGCACACACTCGACGACGCCGACCTTGCCGGCCCGCTCATCATCCAGCTGGCGCAAGCTGAAGGGGAAAGTTCCAAACTTCTTGACAATCTCGGACAGGGTCTGTCTGGAGCTGGGTCTCTTGAGGATATATGTAGTTGTGGTACGGCGGTGCAAAGTTGGTCTATGCTCGAGAGTCTTGACCTTGCCGGATCCCAAGCTGAGCCCGACCTCGACACCCCAGATTTCCTGTACTTCGGGGGTTCCCTCACCCTTGACTCCCGTTCCGGGGGCTACAATGATCTTCTTGCTTCCTTCGATCTCGTTGCGCTCGAACAGCCAGCTGGTGGTGTTCTCGACGACTGTGCAGTCGTATGACTTGGCTACCTTCTCGAGCAAGCTGGATATCTTGGCCTGGGTTGGTGGCTTCTCGGCAGCCGCCTTCTTCTTCTCTTCCTCTGTGCCTTGAGCAACGAGCCCCGGGGGAACCATGAGCCTGAGCAGCAGCTCGTTGGCGTAGTGGGTGGCCAGCAGGAGGTCTGCCTCACGGCCGGTGACCTTTCCTCCCACGACGATGGTATCGCAGACTATGGTCCCGAATCCATCGATCTGAGCACCGAGCTGAATCTTGACCACCTCGTTGGCCTTGAGCTCGGTGGCAGCCTCTTCCGCATCTGAAGTGAGCGGAGTGTATGGCGTCACATACGAGCTTGGAGATACCGTCGTCGGATGAGATATGCCTTTTTTACATCATCAGCCTTCTTCTTCTTCCGTCTAGCATCCGGGGGTATAATATAGTTGGTAATAAGTACCTTTCGACACCTTCTTGCCCTTGTAGACCTTGGCCACCTCCTCGTCGAGCAGCTTGTCTCCCTTCTCGCAGAGCTCGACGATCTTTGCTCCCTCAACGCACCATCCTATCCAGCGTCAATGTCTCTCTATTAGTCTAGTTGTATTCCCGTGGAACCCACCTGAAACGGCCTCGAGCACTTTATGGGAGATCTGGGCGGCGGTCTTGTACTTGGTCAGGGTATCGGGGTTGTTGAGCGTGTAGTCTGGCCCGTCAGCATTACCACAATCACATCACCCATAACACGGACATCACAGTATCCCAAACAGCAAATGCAAGCAGACGACAGTCTACCCGTCTCAAAGTTCTATGGGTGCGTCTTCTACTTACCGATCTCAGTGTTTTCAGCCATGGCGGCGACTCTACCAACAGCAGCAGCAGGCTACCTAGTGGAATAACAGGTCGAGAAGTCGGTCGCAAGAGACGGCCCAGTAGCTCGTCTGCGTCGGTCTTGGTCTTCCGTTACGTCCTAGTCGTGTCTTCCCGGCTTCCTGACTGCTCGTCTGCTCGTCTTTTCTACTTGCGGGCGGCGTGGAGGGGGAAAAGCCAAAAGGTGGGATATTTTTTGTTGTTGTTGTGGGCTTTTTTCGTGTCCCTCACTTTATCCTGCTCGTTGCTTTTTTGCGCCATGACGTCGATGCGCAGTGACTTCGCGGCTCACCAGAATTGCTAGGCGGCCGAAGTCACTCTGCATCGCTGCCATGCAAGCCTTCCCCGGCCGTGGCACACTCTATAGTTACACTCTATATAACTACTCTCTACTACTGTCAGCGACCAGGAACTCTCAGCTACAACCAGGACTGACTCCAGCCAGCCGGCCAGCCAGCAGCCACGGCCAGGTCCAACGTCGCCTTCCCTGCCCCTTAAGTAGCTTCCACGGCCAGCCCGCCAGGATACCCGAAGCTCGCGGAAGGCTGTACGAGCCAACCAGTCTTGCACATGGAACCAGCATGACCCGCATTCTCGTAGCAGAAGCCCACGATGGAAAGGGGCAGCAGCAGCGGCGGCGGCAGCAGAAGCAGCAGATAAAGATGCGAGACAGGGACGCAGACGAAGACGGGAGACGAGGTACGCATCTTCATCTTCATCTTCATCTTCATCTTCATCTTCATCTTCTTCGGCCTCTCCCTTGATCTGCATCTCTCTCTCTTCTCTTCTCGTTAAGATGAAGCTAGGCAGCTTGCTCTTCCGCATCCTCACGCATAACATCCGCTATGCAACAACCTCGCCCTCGGCCGGCGAGCAGCCATGGAGCGTCCGCGCGCCTCACATCGTCAACGAGCTCGACTACCACAGCCGGCTGAACCCAGAGAGCTTCGTCTGTCTCCAGGAGGCGTTGCACAACCAGGTCAACGACGTCCTGGCCGGCCTCAACGCTCGCCCGCACGCCCAGGCCGATGAATGGGCCTTCTACGGCGTGGGCAGAGACGACGGCAAGCAGGCCGGAGAGTACTCGCCCATCTTCTACCGCCCGGCCGTCTGGACGCTGCAGGAGAAGGAGACCGTCTGGCTGTCCGAGACGCCCTCTGTCCCCTCCAAGGGCTGGGACGCTGCCTCGATCCGCATCGTCACCATCGGCGTCTTCAACCACAGGGCCTCCAACACCACCGTGCTCGCCATGAACACCCATCTCGACGACCAGGGCAGCAAGTCCCGCCTCGAGTCGGCCAAGCTGATTCTCAGTCTCATCCAAAAGTACCTGGCTCGCCACCCCGAGGTCAAGGGCAACTTTCTCGCGGGCGACTTCAACAGCGCCGAGAGCCAGGAGGCCTACCGGGAGTTCACCAAGCCGGGCTCCAGCATCGTCGACACCTACAAGAAGGTCCCTGCCGCCCAGCACTATGGAGACGAGATCACCTTCACTGGATTCGACGGCAAGACCAAGGGCAGCCGCATCGACTATGTCATGGTCGGTCCTCAGTCGTCTTCTGCGTCCATCCCTTTCACTGTCAATGGGTATGCTGTGATGCCTAACAGGTTCGACAACCGCATCTACAACTCCGACCACCGCGCTGTCGTCGCCGACGTCACTCTCTAGTCTAGTCTATAGCCCTCAAAGCCCCCAGTAGTACATAGCTTCCTTCCATACATAAAATTCATCTTTTTTTATTCCTGTATCTTCGTTCTTCGTTCTTCGTTCTTCGTCTTCAGTCTTTTCTTCTTCTTCTTCTTTCTAGGGGCTGGCCTGCTTATGTCATGATTACGTCATCTGATTAGTCACTTCTTACTCATCAGCGACGCCAAAAGAGCAAAAAAGACGAAGAAAAGACGAAGAAAACGAGGAAGAAACAAGCAAGAAGCCGACGATGATTCCATCTTTCGCATCGCATTCTCGGTCGTTCTCTTCGCTGACGGGCAGGCCAATTCCTGACTGCTAGTTACTCGCCTCTCGCCCCTAGACGGCCGGCGTTGGGTTGCAGCTTCGTTCGTCTCCTTCGTTTCGACCGCGTTAAGAGACACCTGAACCGTCTCTCTCTCGCTACTCTCTCTCTCCCTCTTACCGAGTAGTTGAATCTGCTACCTCCTTGCAAGTCGCATTCACTGCGCGATTCCGGTATGCCCTGCTCCACGTAGACTGTGGCCCCTGACCGTCTTGCTTCCGCCGGAGCTTCGTGTTGGTGGTGTTTTGGGACGCGGCACTGACGACGACCTTGGTCGACTCTTTTTGTCACAGACAACTTTTTAAGTTAGCACAGCAAGCAACATCGCAACCATCGACCATGCCGTGGCCGGAAGCCGAGGAGAATACCGGCCAGCCAGATGGTGCGCTACAGGGCTCGCATTCACATTCACACTCGCCTCAGCCTGTAGCTCCCGCCGCAGGTAGCAGCGAGCAGCCGGCGGAGTCGCCACAGGACCAGCAGCTAGCTCCTGGCGGCCATAACGGAGCCATACCCGCTGGTATCCTGGAAGGGAAACAGAATGCCAGAGCTATAATGGGCGCCTCAGAGCTTCCGGACGGACCAGCTCATGCTGCTGAGGGCGGTGGAGAAGAAGGAAGCGGAGGAGGGAGTGGTGGTGGTGGAGGAGGAGGAGGAGGAGGTGGTGGTGGTGATGGGGATGGAGATGAGCCTGCTAGACAAGGTGGTGCCAGCTCGCCTTCTCCGCAAGAAACTAGCATCACAAACGGAAACGGAGTCAGTCGGAAACGGTCTCGTTCTGGCTCTATCATACAGTCTACCGCTGCTGCGCCTGCTTCTGCTGCTGCTGCTGCTGCTGCTTCTCCTGTAATAGAGGATGATGGTCTGCCGCGCAAGACACCCCTAGAAAAGGTTCTTTTGGAAGACTACCTATACCGAGAATGGGGTCACTCCGCCCTTGCCGCTACACGGAATACGCACCAGGAAGTGCTCCGCCAGAAGCTCCAGGAAAGAGACTACTATCTCGCCCTCAACCAGGAAAGACAGGCCAACCCAGCTGCTATCTTTGGCCCGGGCTACGAAGGATACGGTAACACCAGGACAGATCTTAGGTCGCAGCACCCACAGCTTCTCTACCCATCCAACCGGAGGCGGCCAGGTGGGCGGAAGGCTAAAGAGCTGCGCATACCGCGAGAGGACATGCTTACCCAGTCAGACCAGGATGAACATCTCGTTCCTATCAGGCTCGACATCGATTGGGAAAAGGTCAAGGTTCGGGATACTTTTACATGGAATCTCCACGATCGCGTCACCCCTGTCGACGTCTTTGCCGAGAAGCTGGTGGAGGATCTCGGCCTACCGCTCGAATCTTGTGGCCCGCTTGTGCGGCAGATTACTCAGAGCATTCATGAACAGTTGGCAGACTTCTACCCCCAGGTCTTTATCGAAGATGAGCCTCTGGACCCACACTTGCCCTACTCCGCCTACAAGAACGATGAGCTCCGGGTTCTCATAAAGCTGAATATCACCATCGGACAACACACGCTTATAGACCAGTTCGAATGGGAACTGAACGACCCCCATAATTCACCGGAAGGGTTTGCTATCCAAATGTCCCAGGACCTGTCCTTGCCGGGGGAGTTCACCACAGCAATCGCACACTCTATCCGTGAACAGGTCCAGCTATTCACCAAGAGTCTGTACGTCGTCTCATACCCCTTCGACGGCCGACCAATCGACGACCCAGACCTGAGAGACGCCTTCCAACCATCCCCTATTCCATCCACTTTCCGCCCCTTTAACGTTGCCAAGGAATATACCCCTTACCTATACGAACTCAATGAAGCAGAACTTGACCGGACGGAAGGCTCCATCTCGCGTGAGCAACGACGACAGAAACGAGTCAACAGGCGAGGAGGACCGATCCTGCCCGAACTCAAGGACCGTCAACGAACTATTCGGACCATGATCGTTTCCTCGGTCATACCAGGGTGCGCCTCGTCCATTGAAGAAAGTCGATTATTCAAACGGTCAAGTACCAGTCGCCGTGGCAGAACCTCTACCGGCCACCGTGATGGTCTGGAAGAGTCAGAGTCCTCCGAGAGCGAAGAGTCTTCCATCGGATCTCCAGCCATGTCTCGTCTCAACCAGGGAACTGCTAGAACAAGAGGCATGAGACAAGCCTCTTCCATGGCCCAGTCAGCCATACGAGGACAAATGGGCCGCTCAGCAACGCCCGAGACAACCGTATCCCACTCTCACGAAACAAGAACATCCGCCAGACGGCAGAACTATAGAGAGGAAAGCTCAGAGGCACCCGAGAACCTTATTGTCAAACTGAAGATAAATCCGGATAAGTTACGACGCCTCATGCGCGACCTCAAGTCTGGCTCGAGACAATACACGGGGTCTCCCGGTGGCCCATCCTCGACTCCCACAGGGAAATCAAGTGCTCGTGGATCTATGGGGCCTCCACCGTCCCAAGGCCAGCCTGGCTCCGCGACAAAGAAGCCAACCAACCCTCCCCAGTTCCATGGTGTCATCGACGCACCCCATCCATTACCCCCAGGAACTCAGCCGGTAAGCATACCCTTACTACATTTACCTCGCCATAACCTAACGGCTCACTAACCACGCACACCCTCAGCCCCCTCCTCCCCAGTGGCTCATCCAAGGCCTTGTGGGCCTTAAAAGACAATACCCCAACGACTCCTTTGAAGGAACAATGCGCTACACTGCCGTAGATCCAAACACAAACCTCCCTATCCCCAACGCAGCCCAAACACATCCTGGCCAAAAACTACCATACAAATACTTCCCCCGAATCCGCTGCAATGACTGCCCTGGAAAACTCTACACGCCGGGCCCAGCAATGACAGTCGAGAACTTTGAGGTCCATCTCAAAAACAGAAATCACAAGGAGGCCGTTGCGGCGCGGTTGGCGAGGGAGAAAGGGGGTAGTGGCCCACCACCTGTTCGACGGACACCGAGCAACAGCTCAGCAACTAAAGAAAGCAGTGCGCCAACTGGTACGAGCACGTCCGCAGGTAACGATTCGTCTGGAGCTGCGTGATGGAACGCATTTATGAAATAAGCGAACACTCAAGTGCAAACAAGCCAGCTTAATGCCAATGGACGGATAGATGGAATCAATTATACAAATTTACGTTACCCCTTCCCCTCCTCACCCTCGATTCTCACATTCATACGCCCCGCCTCTCGTCATTGATACTTGTCTGTCTATTCCTTCTCCTTTTCCTTTCCCTTTACTTACTTCACTGGGATCTCGGCGGAATTCGAGCGGATTCAATATCTACTTTTTGGCATGATGCATTTTTTGTACGCTCCTACCGTTTATTCTTAAATTCCTGTTTCGTTAATATACCTTCTAGTTGCCTTTTCTCTTGCCGTCTTACTTTCTCTTTCTTGGGACAAGATGCATCCTATTACGCTTCGTTAATTGTTAAGAGAGGTGTTGGTGTAGATTTTTGTTCAAATAGGCAGTAATATGTGAATACAGACATGCTGTAGAGGAGTGGTTGAACCCATCTAATTCCATAACTACATGGCTGGCTATCTAAGGAGAGGAAATCAAAGACAAGATTTGAAGCAAATATATGCACAGAGATATTTGGTTAATGTAGAAATATGGAGATCAGATGCCTGCAAATCAATGTGGGAAGGGGATTGTTTAAAGACATGGGCAGCGTTGAGTAAAGTGAGCGTTGAAACTAAATGAAACTAATATAGCAGTTTCATGCTTTGACCTTCCTCTTCGGCCTGCCGGGTGGATTTTTCACAGCTTTAGGTGCGGACTTTGCGGACCGACCTCGTTTGGACTTTCGTGTCTCCGGGGCTGGCGAGGATGGCTCAGGCGTTGGCGACAAAGATACCTCCGGCGTTGATAGGTCCTGGGGAACATCGCTCATCTCGGCGTCTTCAGGCACCTGAGGGAGATTGTTCTCTTCGCCTTCATCCTCCTCGGCACTGTCGTTGTCACTGTCATCTTCTTCCGAGTCAGGGGCTTCCTCCCGCTGCTCCCCTCTTTCATCCCACGCTTGCATTTCCTTGTCATCTTCATCGCTATCACCCTCCGCATAGCTAACATTCATATTCTTCGTACCTCTACCGGATCTCCGTCGCGCTGCTGCTGATGAAGGCTTGGCCCCTTCATCGCCGTCAGAATCCCAATCATCTCCGTCCTTCTTTTTCTTGCGTTTGGACTCAGAGCCACCCGCCGTAGACTTCCTGCGAATAGGAACGGTTCGGGATGATGTTTGCTTTTTCTCCTTCCGCTGCTTCTTCGAAGATCCTCCATTCTCATATGCATTGTCATCGTCATCGTCTGCAGTTGGTTTAGTACTAGACTTGTAGTCAATCTTCCGCTTTTTTCCAGCCACAGAGCTTGCATTCATGGCCTTCGGTTTCATGAACCGTCGAACAACCCGATCTAGCCTATTTTCAACCACCTCGGGCAGGAAGTTCTTCTCAGCTGTTGATTGAGCCTCTTCGTGGCTTGGTATATTTGCAAATAGACTGCTGGGGAGTCGCATCTTTCCCGGGAACGTCTGAAGGATATTGGCTACCCCACTGCTGCCACTCCCGCCAATTTTGTGTTGTTGAGAGTAACATTCTGCGAACCTGCGGATGAGGGCTTGGGATAGATCTGAAAGGGTATGTAGTCGAGCGGACATTATCGCGGATGCTTCGGGGTCTGAGATTGCGTCCTGCGCTTGCTTGACGCGCTGGGCAATGTGGAAAATCAAGGAGAGGTTGTTTTCATTGGCGACTGCAGAGAGGTAGAAAAGGATATATCGGGAGAAGCTAACTAGGTCCTCCTCAATGGTCATTTCATCGGATCCTTCGGGTGGGTAGTCGGGGTGGTGAGCAAGGAGGGAGAGAAGACGAGCGAATAGAGCTTCCATAGTCGTTTGGGATGATTGCTGGTCTGGACCAGCGGCGGAACTGCTTGGTCGGCGGGAAAAGAAGGACGCTCTTGATCGTATCCATGTAAGTGTACTATCGTAAAGGTTTCCATTTGGTTCGAATGCGACGAGGAATGTAATGAGGTACCACCGGGGGTTGAGATTTGGTGTCTGAACAAGTCGCTTTTTAACCTGGCCGATAAAACCTCGCCTTACTTCGAGCAGAGGGTCTTGAGTCACTAGCGCAATAGCATTGAAATTCTGGGGCGTGAACATTCGGTCACAAACTGATTTTGAGGCGCAAAGCTTGACAACTAATTTGGCAGCCATCAAACGAAGCCTGGACCTTTGTGACCAAGGGGTATCTTCAGTCTTCGAAAGCTCTCCATGTTTCTCAATGAGAGTATTTAAAATAGCATAGACCGAGTCTGCATATTGTTTGAATTCTTCATCGTCATCAGAGTATTCTCTAGAGCGCACTCGGTTCACAAGTATTTTCAAAGCCCACTCCTTAGCTTGTAGTTCCTCGTCAGCTTCGTCAGACCATGAGTACCCAGGATTTGGATCTGGGTTGCGATTTTTGAATAGGATCTGATCTGTTGCAATCCTGAGAATAGCGTCTTCTTCTCGGTCAACTTCCTTGGATGCGAGAAGTGTGAGTTGGGAGAGAGCTGCCAGTTTGGTTAGGAAGTGGTTAGAACCGTAAGTGAATTTCTGCACGCTCTTCTTGACAAGGTCCCGAGCATACATCTCTTTCTTGTCCGAAGTTGCCATAATTATCGAAACTGCGCACTTTGCTGCAACGGGGGACGAGCTGTACATCGCATAATTTATTAGAGCTACTTGGAACTGTTTATGAGTAGGTAGTTTTGCCGGTAGCTTTTTAGCAAACCCGGCACAGGCCTTTAGGATTTCCTCGACAGCAGGATCATCACTTCTTTGTGCATTGGGAGCCTGCGACTCTAGATCCTTGCACATTTCTTGAACATGAGTTTCGAGAACTTCTGGATTCTGTGACGAAGTTTCACGTAGAAATTCATGCGCTATATTGCCTAGCCCATGTTCATCAGTCCTTGATATTGTCATAATACAGGGTATGTGGCTTCTGTTGAAGATCAGGGAGCTGCTGCGGTAAATCAGAGGGATCAAGGATTCAAGCATTGTTGTAGTTGCGGATGTACTCGACAAGATTCTGTTGGACAGTTCTCGTATAGCTCTCGCCACAATCCGGTAATCACTTGCAGCGGCCATGGCAAATCGGATAAGTTGGTAGCTGCGCCTATCGTGCATTTTTGCAAACTTCCACAGGTCCGCAGAGGCCCGTGAGGCCTCTGGGAGCATTTTAGAGAGCTGATCGATGACTCTAGTTAGTTTACTTTTGACCGCTTCCTCATTATCATCCATCACACCTCCCTATTAACATTGCATGTTAGTCAATACCCATTGAATATAAGTTAGGGATATAGGAGACTTACATTGTATTCTTCGCATGCAGTCAGATAAAAATCCATGAAGGCTCGCATTTTGAGCTGTCGAGACTGAAAAGCGAAGAATACATTCTTTGATTTCTCATCTAGTCCATTGACCAATGTGAGAATACGACGGGCACGGATGGAGTCAGGGTCTACATCATCTTCCTGATTGCCCTTAGCAGTCTTTGATTTCTGCGATTGGCCTTTGGCTTGTTTAGACTTTATCGGTGGATAAGTAAGGGGCAAAAGCACTTCGTAGATGACATGGTCAAGAAGCACTTGAAGGTCAAGGTCATTGGTATAGTAAGCGTCGAAAATTTTCGAAGGTGCATCTTTAAGAACGGTCATAACCTCCTCGTTGTTTGCTTCAATATCGCCGGATGCCACTGCCCACATTTTTCCTAGCACGTTCATTGCTTGTTCACGTACTGCATGTTTCCTATCTTTAACTCGTGCTGCTAGCACTGAAAGAAGAGAGTCAGGCTCAGAAAGGCCGCCGTCAGACCCAAGCTTCTTGATGACATCCTTATAGCCAAATTTTGCGAGAGCCTCTACAGCAGCAATCCGGACCTTTTCGTCGGCGTCTCCTAGGGCCCTGGCGAGCCCGGCTATCAAATTGTTCGACTCCGCCGTATTCAAACCTGTACCTCCAGCTGAGGTAAGGAGTATCCTCCCAATTGCCGTGGCCCATGAGGCTCGCACGGAAGGGGACTTATCCTGGCGGCGAGATAGGAAGCTTTCATATGCTGAAGAGTGGGATTGCGAGAATGGCTTAGGTGATAGAGGATTCAAAAGAGCATTCACTTGAGAGACAGATTCTGTGTCATCACTCAAAGAAGGACGAGGGTAGGCAGCCGGATCCAATAATGGATCGGGAGGAGGGCCTGCAACACCAATTCCTGCTGCTAAGTCGCCAATAGTCTGTGTTGCTAGCAGGCGAAGGGAAATGGAATCTGCGGATAACTCAGCCTCAAGCTGTGGGATAACATGTTGCAGTACATCCGGGCAGGCTCGCCATAATTCCCGTATCAGCCTATGAGCCTTGTTAAGATCTTTGATATTTTCACCCTCATCTTCAGACTCGTCCAAGCTATTGCGGCGATTTTTCAACCCGTTGATACCGGAGGGGCCAGAAGCATCCAAGATGACATTATTGAAGTATTGACTGATGTAGCTTGTTAATTTTTCTGGGCAAGCATTACATATCGCTTTCGCCATATTATAAGCTGGGGGGTAGTCTTTCAGCAATAACGTTCCCTGCTTCGCATCCACAACGCCGGTAGCTCCCTTTTTGCCCTTCCCAGTGGAAGTAGACAAGGAATGGTCAATGGCCCGAGGGTCAACGCGCAAGAACTGCGCAACGATCACGTCAATAACTTCCGGCGCTAAACTAGGCGCTTCATCAATGATTGGAGCAAGGAGTCGTGTCATATCGTATTCCACATTTTTTGCTAGGTCCTCCCCAGTTGACGCCTTGGAAGATCCCGACACAATATCGAAGCAGGAAGAGAATAGAGGAAGGATTAGGGTATCAGGAGCGTGGACATCTGTAAGCAGCACGATACTCTTGACGTCTGCTAATGAGGAAAGAACATATATATGTTGGTCATTATATGCGTTGGAGGGATCTGCTAGCGCTGGTATAATTGAAGTCACAATCAATGTGAAGATATCCTAGGTTACCATTTCGAGTGAGCCAGAGTAGCTAATATGAGAAGAAATAATGGGTACGTACCTTCAATTGATTCACGGTGAAAGGCGCATTGGGAGCACATAGGCGCAATATGTCCACAACGCAGCAGGCTGTCCACGCGCGAACACCTTTATCCCTATGCCCCAAGAGATGTCCATCCGCTAGCTCCTGAGAGACCTTTGTCAACGAGTTTCGATCTATATCCTCTTGATCTAGCATTCGTAGCTCTGAACCTAGCTCCTCGAGTCTTTGGAGTAGGTGTGCAACAGGAATAGCTTTCCCGGCTTTCCATGAAATTGCCTGGTTAAACTGAAGTTTATGTAACGAGCCGTCTCCCTTGTCCTGGTCGGATTGTGCTTCTTCTTCTTCCTCCTCCTCCTCCTCCTCTTCCTGCTCTTCAGATTCCACTGCCTCTTCTACCTCCTCGACCGGAGCCGCCTTGGCGGATTTGCGGGTTCGTCTGCGCGCAGGCATCGCGTGTGGTTTCCGGCCGTCACCAAGTCCTGGAATGGTGTCAGATAGGCTATTTATGACCCGAGGATATACAATCGCCTATGCGCGGCCCCTGGAGATGTGTGTCGTGATAGGGAAGGTTGTGTATCTTGATCATGGACGTTCGGCCCTCAGAGCCAGCTCCGCGCTGTTTGTGGTCGGCTGCTTTCTTCGCAGTTACCGTGGATTTGAATATGTAGAAGTGAGACACTCGAACCGGCTCACTGCGACAGGCTGGAAAACTCGGCAGCAGCAATAAAATGACAGATATGAGCTCTGCCCGTGTAATGGGCCGTTCAGGCTTGCTCAAGGTCGTAAATTCATAGTTATTTCGATGCGCGAGCGCGTTTTGCCTTATGTAGTTAAACTCTATATTATAATCACGTGAGAGGTGACTTTCACCGAGGTATCGTTTCAAAAGTGAGCAGACAGGCCTTCTACGATGCATTTTGGTCAAGTTGATATTGAGCATAGGATGAAGACTAGAATGCGTAGAAGAGGATATGTTGAAATAAGGATAATTCAGTATATTATATACTCTAAATCTAATCTAAAAATGCCTCCTTCATATATGCATAACTATACAAAACTCCACAGCTTCCCAATTTTAAATGTAACCGATTCTACAAACGGGAGATATGAATGCAATTAAATATACCATCACACCTTTGGAACGAAGCGGCTCATAGCTCTGATTCTAGCTCCGTATACGTAGAACAAGATCGGAACAGGGATCATCGCTAGAGTGATGAAGGCTAATACACTGCTAGCCCATGCAACTCCAAGGTTGTGGTACATTTGAGAAGCGAACATAGGGAAGGCTGCTCCCAGCAAACTTCGGATGAAAGTGTTGGCAGCTAGCGCTGAGTTGGCATATATAAGGTAAACGTCGACGACATAGTTTATCCCCTGCAAGAAAATGATGATCAACCCGAAGCCTATGGGAACACCGGCGATAACTTGCGGGACCCAGGTGATATGAGGCGATGATGTCCAGGCGAACCAGAACAAGCCAGCAGGGAGAGTGAAGGCAGCAAATATCATGGTCGGTAGGCGATCTTCTGGGACTAGGTTGCCAGTTTCCTTGAGCTTCTGAGCGTATTGGTGTTTGCTGATGTAGATAAGAACACCGCATCCAAGTAGAATACCGATCAAGAGTCCAATGAAAGGAAGAGCAGCAACACCTGGGTGTTCCCAGCCTCGAACTTCTCCAAATGAGATAGGGTATGCAAAGAAGAAGAGGTAGAGGATTCCGTAGACAACAGAAAGATAGATAGTTGTTAGGGAAAGAATGGGTTCTAGGATCAACATCTCGAATGGACGGCTCAGATATTTGTGAAAGATATCGTTGATTGTCAAGGGGCTCTCGTCAAGGGTCGAGTGGAGGGCCCAATTCTTCGTCTCATATCGAAGTCGTTTTGCTCGGTTTTGCAGAATAACTGGAGCAAAAGTCTCTGGGAGGCTGAATAAGGCCACAAGACCAACTGCGGCATCAAGGATGAGAGTAATCCAGTTAGTCCATCGCCAGCCGAGATGTGAAGGGACAATGAATCCACCAATAATAGGCCCAGCAATGGGTCCCAAGAAGGTGGCTGCACAGAAACCAGCGGCTGCAATACCGCGGTCAACAGGCTCCCAGAGATCTACCAAGGCGCCGCCGACGACTGCAAGAGTCACAGAGCCAAAGGCGCCGATCAAGAATCGGCAGATGAGGATAGTTGCAAGGTTTTGTGCCACTGCGACGGGAATCTGGAATATGGCTGAAATTGTGAAGCAGACGAGCATAGGAAGTCGTCGGCCATACACTTCGGAAAGGGGTCCCCAAATAATTGGCCCAAGAGCGAATCCCTTCAGTATACCGTTAGTATAGGTTTAAATGGGCACTTCGATGTCCTATTCACCTACCAGTACAATAAGTGCGGTACCAAGTGTGGTAACCTCCACAGAGACACCGTATATCTTTGCTGTTACTGCCGTAGCTTGACTGAAGACGCTGCTCGAGAAAGTGATGCAGAAGGTTAAGAGAGAGAGCATCATAGGGATGTACCACTTCCTCATACGACCGAAGTTCCTTGGGTTCTCGGGGTCATGGGGACCATCCCAATTCACGAGATCGGGGTTTTTCTTGGGCTCATCGTAGGATAAAGGGGGTGAGGGGACGGATCCAGGCACCTCCCCCTTTTCGAGGTCAGGTTCAGGAACACGCGATGATTCTGGCAAGTTACTGTTATTCAGAGCTAGCTCTGGGATATTGGCGTCCTTTTCTGGGTCCATTGAGTGGGACGCGGGTGTATGCTCTGCCATGGTCAACACAGAATAATCACCTATGCCAGGCTCGGTAGTTAATTCAGGAAGCAAGCTGGATGGTAGGCAACTTGGGAGAAACTGGTTGTTCATATCCAAAACCGCTCAGCAACGGGATATAGACACGCATATATATACCCATAAAAACAGATTTCAAATCCATTGTCGGTCTTAAACAAAATGAAGGCCCGGAGCCGATCACCCAGTCATGACCGACTGCAGTGCCGACATGACATATCAACCCGAAGGGGGTTGAGTACGACGATTCGATCCCCCAAGGGAGTCGAACCAATGCAAAAGGATCTCATGGCTCGAGATGATGAACTCATCATGCATATACCGCATATGAAACGTAGCAGATTGCCGGTTCCCTTCTGTAGCTGGGGCGGGTATATTATAAAGCTCGCGGCAAAAACGTGCCGGATGAAAGAGCAAGGCTATCTTTCTCGCTTGGGGCCTAGAAAGAAGGCAAGCGCCTACATCTATCTGTAGTAACCAACAATAAGCCCGCAGGCTGTTGCTCGTTGATAGGTCTGCTGGAAGCAAGGATGACCATTGAACTCCGGATCTGCTGCCGTGACGTCACGGTCGTGTCCATTTTGCTCCGAGAGAGACAACATGTCGTATCTGAGGAAGACGAAGGCCTGCAGAGAAGTGACTAGCCTATAATTTAATTTATGCATAGTTAATGGCCGGGATCAATATAGCGTATCAAAGCTCTAACGCTGAGTTAGTGATAACGGGATACACAGGTTGGGAATCGGACTTAGCTAGGGAATGGGATAGTTTACCCCTTTAAATCCGATCGCTGCCGTGAAACGTCCGCAATAACTATCAGAATTTACCTGCTATACTTGAACATGGTTCGTCAGCGTCCATAACTCGCTCTGCACCTCGCTGCTGAGGCAAAAGACACCGTCAAGCAGCAAGCCGTCATCAGGAGCGGCTGGGACCTGGACTTTGACTGCTGCGGAACTGCATCACACGCGGCTATTTCCAGCGGCCTGATGCAGTTCGGGTGCTGCTCGACGCAGGGGCGGACTCTGAGGAGCCCGCCCCGAATGGCTCTTCCTTTGATTGCGATATCTCGTTGGTGCTGGCTGCGATAGTTATGGGGGAGGCGTGCCATCATCAAGATTCTAGTTATGGGATCACGGCGTGGCTCACAGCCTGTCAAGCGTAACTAGTTACGCAAGCCACGGGTTGATCACCTTTCAAGCATGTACAAGTCGTCGAAGCTCCCTCAGTCTACGCTTAGCCAGGCCGCATTCCGGGGCTTTGACGGTATTGTGAGCGATCTTTGTTCCTGGCGGACGATGGAGGCGGGTGAGGTAGATGCGGCGCTGTTTTTGGGCGCTGCCCAGTGGGAGGATGTTGCTATCCAAGCATATGCAGCATAGGTGACAACTACATTGCATATCAGCGCTTCCTCCCCCGACACCGTTGGGGCAGTTCAAGTTCTGCTTGAGCGAGGAGCTAGCTAGTCAACTACAGCCATCGCTCACGCAATGGTGAAACACCGTCGCCCTCGACCAACGGGCGAGCGTTTGAACACGGACACTATCAATATGCTACTACAGCACGGAGCCTCAGTCTTCGTTACAGACAACTTGGGCGAGACACCAATGCATGTACTTGCATACTACGGGACGTATTCACTCTCCCAGTTTTGCTTAGAACACTATAGATACCCCAATATCTTCATTTCGACGCTCTACGGAGAGACGTTGCTCCACAGGGCAGCCCACGGGAACCAGGTAGGAATCATCGAGAGACTACTTGCAGACGGAGCACGTATCAATGACAGGTCTTCGTCAGGCTAGACAGCGCTTTTATTCGCCCTCACAGAAAGATTAGGGATTGCAGAGATGTCAACAGTCGTTAATCTACTGCTTGATCACGGAGCGAAGGCCACAGATATAACTCCGGAAATGATGGACGGCTCTATACCGTGTCGCAGATCTCCATAATGAGCATCATGAAGGGGTCACAGCTCTTATAGAGCGTCTTATTGGCCTTCGTGCAGATACCGAGGCGCAGACCTTTGTACCAGGAGATATGTACCGGAATAGCCTTGGGGGTTATCGTCTCACACTTTCTTGAAGTAACAAGCTCCGATCGCCAGCGAGCAGACACTGCTACACTGGGTGGCAAGCAATGATATTCAATAGATCAAATAAATGCGTTGCAAGTTAGGTGTTATATCCACATTAGCAATAGAGCATCAATTTAATATGTAGCCCTATATACACGTACCTAGCATGTAACGGCGTGTTCCGGAGCAGCAATTCTTCGACATTGGCCTGAGTGTCTCATGTAGATTAGCTGCTGATCAGTCGAATCCAAAGTCGAAGTGGAAATTCATAGCCATCTGAAAAAGCAGGGTCAACTAAACGGCGATGTCGTCCTGTCAATGCTGATGGGTGGACGAGAGCGTCTTTCCTTTTATATTGCTAGCTACATAAAGACTTGTTCTGAGCTGTTGAAAATGCATCCTCCACGCCTGTAGTCTAGTAGTCCACAATCCTCAACGATAGTACAATCACCAAATGCATCAAAAACCAATTGCCTGTAACTCCAGGTAAACGCTCATACTCCGCGAACCACATAATCCTTACAAACCGGACCAGAAGACGCCGATAGTTGAGGGTAAAACGAATCTGAAAGTACATAGCAGGAAAAAAAG